ACTGAATGAATACTGTAGAAGAATAGAAAAAAACTGTTAACAGGAAAGGACAAGCGGTTTCTAGCATTTACTGTAAAGCGGGGACAATCCACGGCCTGTGTATTACAGGGGCGCCACGCATTTTGGGTGATGGTGCCTCTGTATATGAGGGCATACCCAAAAGCAAATAGAAAGTAAAAGGAATAAAACGGAGCTAGTTGCTGTCGGTCTCCGGCGCGTGAGGGGAAGGAGTGGGAAGGACTCCGGGGTGAGTGTGTGAAGAGGTGGGAGGAGAGAAAGAAAAAAAAAGAGCCAGCGAGAAGACAGAGAGAGAGAGAGACTGGGGGTTCATGGAGAAATATCCAAGAGGGAGGGATGGAGGAGGAGTGTGTCGGTGGGGAGAGGAAAGAGGAGGGGGCAGAAATAGGAATACATTTTTCTGCTTGTCTTTCTTATGCTCACAGTATTCGAATTCTGTGCTCTTGCATTTTTTCCCCCTCTCTTTTACAGCTTATACCTTTTCTTTCTGTGGGAAGAAAACAGAAAGGAAGGAAGAAGAGAAAGAGCTACTGTGTGCTTTGTCTCTCGCCCCTATCGTTCCTTTTCCTGGTTTCCTTTCTGAAGTGACTCTCCTCTATACAGCCTATTTTCTGCACGTGCACTTGAACTCTAAATCCTGTTTGCTTTCCCCTCCCCTCCCCTCTCTCTCTCTCTCTAACTGCGCATCTGTTTGTCTCTGCCTCTCTCGCTCTCTCTCCTAGGCAGAGGCTTGAAATAGTGCTAGCAGGCAGGAGAGAGCGAGCGGGAGGGAAAAGGAGAGGGCGAGGGGGACAAAAAAGGGGAGAGAGATGTTGAGAGGGGGGAGGGGAAGAAGCTTAGACCGGCTGACATAGAGAGCACTGGGCTGCTCTGTGTGTGTGTGTGTGTGTGTGTGTGTGTGTGTGTGTGTGTGTGTGTGTGTGTGTGTGTGTGTGTGTGTGTGTGTGTGTGTGTGTGTGTGTGTGTATATATGAACATGTCTGCACATTTGTAAACTCACATTCATCTACCTTGGCTTTAGATGCACTGTTTCACACGCTGCTGGTAATCCGCATATCATGTTAGCCTACATACCAGAAAGGAAATACATTACTTTTTGGGGTCAGAGAAATAAATAATTTAATGAATTGAAATTATTTGGAGACCTACAATTGAATTAGTGCTGCAAGCAATGATTGGATGTTCATTAATTAATCCTACTTTTATTTTCTTGGTGAATCATTCAGTCCAAAAATTTCACAAATAATGAAAGAGTCTTATCTTCAGCTACCAGAGACAAAAAGTGATGCCTTCAGTTGGCTTATGTTTTTGAATTGACAATTAAAACCCTAAAGGGATTCAATTTACAATCAAATAAGACCCGGAAAAGGAGAAAACCCTCACATTTAGGAAGCTATTACAAGCTAATGTTTGGTATTTTCACCAAAGATTACAAAAAGTACACAATTAATCGGTTGTTTTTTATTTGGCAAGTTATTACTCAATCTTTAGCGCAAGCCTGCAATTGTGACATGCACACGTCAGACTTGGCTCAGATCGTATTTTATTTTTTTACTTTTGAATTCATAGAAAAATAAAATATTATAATTCTGATAGACAATTAATATTGTCAGGTTTGCATTCGCTGGTCACAAACATTTTTAAACTTTCTATATGTTCTACTCTACGTGGCAACAAGTCAGAATAAATAACAATACTATTGGGATGAAGGTTGGCATATATGCCATTGTGTTAAAATGTTATACAGTAAAAAGCTGAGTAAAACTGACATACTGTGACCTTGAGAGGCTTTTGAAATAAGTGATCTTTAGAAATAAAATAATTTTATGTTTTGCCACAAGTTTCCTGCAGATGTTGAGAGTGGCATTATAATGCTTTGAGATGATTTAATAAATGTTACTAATATTTTATCAGGTGAGACCAAATAAGAAAAAGGCGGGTCATGGCAGGACAAGAGAGCTACTGAACATGTATGTCAATTGGTTATGAAGCTTCATCTATTTGCTATCTTTAGACATTACTACATTCGGGCCAGGTACGATGTATTTTATTGATAACACCCTCATAGTAGTCACTGCATAATGCATTACTTTCTACCTTGGAACACAACAAAAAGATGGCATGACAAACATGCAAGTAGATTTTATGAAAAGTGTTATCAAAGGTCATAATTTCAAATATATTATGATAGACATGAATTCGTCATTTGTTTAAATCCATAAGCACTCTAAGCAAGTCAAATCAAAGATGCAGTTAGACTGTATAATATGTAGGCAGCTAAGGCTCCTGGTTGGTTGAAAATAAAAGAAGCCAAAGTAAAATGTTTCTCACTGGTGCTGTTTTCTCATGAAGTTGCCTTCTCGTAAACTGACTGCAGCACACTTCTTGAAAAGTCTTCATAGGGTCTGTTTTAACCATGGTTTTAACCAGAGATGATGTGAAATGGGTGCCACAACAACACTACCCTCTGCTGGGAAACAATGGGAATAGTTCATACACCATCACGGTGAAGAAGCTCATTAAACATTGTTTAAACCACCATTTGACACGAACTCGAGGCAGGCTATGCAAATTAAATATACAATTCATATTACCGTCAGTGGTGGAGTTATTTTGGTTTAAAGGCTGGGTTAGGAGGAATTTGGAGCTGCTATGGAGGTCATTTCAGGCTATCATCCATTTAAATCGGGCAATCTCCCTCCCTCCCGCCTCAGAATCCATCCTCCAGCTGCATTAGCTGCCATGGCTTAAAGTGAGACAAACCTACATCCAAAACCCGACCACATGGCTTTGGAGTGTATATGAAAAGGAAGATATATTGTATTAATTCATAAATTGAGAGGCGTATGTGTCGGTAACTGATAGAGCATATTATGTCATGACTGCTATCAGTAACTTTGGCTAACGTAAGCTAACCGCTCACTATTTTAGCTATATTAGCTAGCAGCTAGCTAGCAAAAGTGTCAGCCTTTCCAACGGCTGCGACGGGCGTAGCGTAGTTCTAAAAAGGCATTATGATACAAGTATAAATTAAATTTGAGCTCACCAGTCTGTCTTTAATGTGTCAAGGTGAAAGATGTCAACCAGCAGCAGGAGTTTGTGAAGGTTCTGTAAGCTCACCTCAGAAATGATGAAATGGCTGATATCCACCTGTCCAATTACAAAGGCTGTATGCAAATTGAACAAAAAGGGCCCAACACACAAGTGTACTTATTCAATATTTCGTATAATATCTGGACCAAAGAAACAACCAATCACACAACCTTGACATACACCTAAAAACTAAATATAATATTGAGAATACCTTACATCCTAGGTATTAGGTTTCATATACTTTTGTATAAATATCAACAAAATCAGAAATGTGCTTGATTGTTGACTTCCACATAGCTTTGTAGGTCAAAACTATTTCTCATGATCAGAGAAGTTGGTCGGTTTGATTCTAGTCAAATGTTCCTGCAAATAGTGGTGTACTTGAATACATGTTTCCTTTCTTAATGCCCTCCTAGTCCTGACTGATGTAGCCTACTACAGCACAATGTTTGCAGATATTATTGGAGCATTGTTACGCATGGCTGCTCCTGAAATTATGTTTCGGATTTGTCAAAAAAGAATTTTAGGCACTTTTGGTTGACGTTTTTGTAACCCAAATATTATAGTATAGTGGTAATTTAGTGGTAATTTTTTATTTATAGATAAGATAATACTGTATTGATCCTAACCAGAGGTTTTACATGAAAAGATGCATAGTTTATACATTATAAGTATCTTAAAATTAAGAATTAATTAATGATGTTGTTTACAGACACAAATATTAACTATTAAGTGTATTCAACTAAATAAAGTCAGTCAAGGAATTTTAAATTGAAAGATATTAAAAAGATGCACTTGATAAATTGGAATTGGATAATGTGTAAAGTGTATTGGGCCTGCAGAGGGCAGTGTGAAAGGAATAAAAAAGCAAATGTGGTTAGAAAATATTGTATGTGGGCTACAATGGATGCGAGAAATCACAGTAACAGCCTGGGAGTCAGCAGGGATGCTGCGGCAGAAACCTGGCACTGCAGTTTCCTTTAGAGCCTGCTAAATGTCACAGACTCCCAGAAGAGGACCTGGCTACAGACAACATGGCATACGTCAATCATCACTGGCATACAGGGTATAGATAATGTGACAGGAGGAGAAAGACAGCACCAAGTCTGCCGCAAATTTAACAACAAGGAAATGCATTGTCTCTGATTTATTTACGGCTGTAAGTGTAGTAATATTTAGAACTAGTGAAATACAATGTCGACATTTTAATCAAGGAAACCATATCTTAAATTGTTTTCGCTATTCATTTCTCTGTATCAAGCTTATTAAATGCATCTGAAAATCAGATGGAAGCGGTGGTGCAAGAAGTACTTAGATTGTTAACTTGAGTTAAAGTAGTATTACACAGTAAAAAAAATGTACTCTATACAAGGACCTTCCTAGTATAGAGAAAACTGCATGCAGCCATTGCCCTATTATTATTTGTTGGTCCTGCCCCATCAGTGCGCCCCTGCACACAGTAATAACTTAAAATTCCATACATATGTGTTGAATAAATCCCATTTTCATTTGCCTCATGTTGTTTGAGAAAACGGTCCAGTCAGCTGGTTCATCACATAAAATCATAATTGATTTTTCAGGTTTGGCCAACTGAAGATCCCAGAATGGGTTGACACTGAAGCCTGCCAGACACAAGGAGCTGGCTCCTTGCGATGACAAGTGGTTTTACACCAGAGCAGGTTGGTCACACTGCCAGTGTTTCCCCTTGCATTGATTCATCTGCTGCCACAGCTGAAACGATTAGTATATTCATTAATTGTTTCACTGAATATGAATGTTGGAAATTGGTATATTCCATCTTCTCTAATCTCAAGGATTTGCCTCTCAGATTGCTCAGAAATAATAAGCAACTGGATGACAGAATGTGTATTTTCCTTCATTTTAGAGACTTAACAGTTAAACAAAAACATTATTTCTTTATTAATCAACAATGGGAATATTGATTACTTCAGCCTTACCTAAGTACATGCATGTCCATACTGTATAAGTATATACCACGTGGGATTTATACTCATGGTGTCAAATGATGCCTTCATTGGGGCACTTTTTTTTGTTGCAAATTATAATTACGATTAGGCCAAATCTATGCCATATATTGCTGGTACTTATGTCCTTAAGTTTGATATATACTGTCTTGCCATCCCTAAATATATTTATGACCCATGCGCATGCTTTCCTGTTTAATATGGCTGCATGGCTCTCCCCTCTGCTGTCAGTATCTGTTCCTCTGTATGTTTAGATTTACTCAGTGAACAAGAAACAGCAACGTTTATAAATAACTATCAAAGAAACTCATGCAAAGGCAAATAAAATGCAGTTATGCCTTACTTCTTATTTACACAAGTTACTTGTCTCACATATCACTCCATTGCCCAGAGTGCAGGAAGCATTTTGTAGACATGCATGTGTCTATAGTAAAATTAGTACAAATTAACTATTATACTTGGCTGTTTTGCCAAAATGTATAGTTTAAAAATGAATCTCAAGACAGTAGTGGCCTTGTGAGAGAACAGAATAAGTTAAAAATAAGTTAAAACACAAAGCATGTTTAGTTGACAATAACTTTGAAACTCAATGTATTAAACAAAACAGATTTGGGGAATGCTAATGAAATATTTTTTATTTGTCTGATTCTTTTGAATATTATGCCTTAACATGTGATTCATAAGTTGTATATGAAAAAAATACAAATATAACAACAGTATGGTGTTACAAAGTCAGCTTGCATGTGGATGTATGGGCGACTGTGTGTTTAGTTGTTGGACATGGTGCTGCTGATCCAGCTGTTGTAGCGGCACACTCGGGCGTAGACGCTGGGATGTCCCTGCATGGCGCAGTCATAACCCCAGGACACGACCCCCTGCAGCTGACCGTTACACACCAGAGGACCACCAGAGTCTCCCTGCAACACAAGCAGAAGAAGACACAGGTTTACATTTTACTGTAATAGTACAAACACGGTACATGGCAGGCATTGCATTCAAACTGTCTTTCTGAAGGTTTCAAAAGAAGATCACATGGAATGACATGTAATACCCATATAACTTGTAGCCTATGAATGAAAATATGTTGACAGATGTTTGCTCTATAATGAAAAACTGCTGCAGGTGGTTGAAAGTTGTGGATTGAGAGATTATTTTTCACAGAAATACATCTCTTTATTATTTTATATGCTGCTTAATACGTATATCATATACTGTATGTTCATCATCATCCAATTGTACCCACAGCATCTGTAATCTTTAAGCTTCTTTCAAGTCACATTGATCATATAAATATAAAAACCTAGGGGTGAACTATATATATCGGGTTCAGGGCAAAAGGATTATCAATTTACATTATTATTTATTGTTCCGCTAATTTAATTATAACCTGTCAATGATCAGCCGTTCATATACCAAGTTGTTTTTAATTAAAACGCCCAAAATCTACACACTCTAATTTACTAAAATGTATAATAATTTGCAGAGTCAGAACTGTTTTTCTTTTGTTACCAATAGATACTAATAGGTTGGTTGGATTCAGTAAGTTCAAAGCTGTGGAATTATCATCTTTCTTTGCTCGCTGCATCTTGGCCTTTTTTACCTTATGGCACTAATAACTTTTACAGGTTATCAACTTATTTTCAAAGACGACATTTTTTTTTAAATGATCGGATATTTAATCAGTGTATGCCATGAGAAACATGTAATTATCGGTCTCTGCTGAAAAAATGAAGGATGTCCAGTGAATTCAAATGTCTCTTGCAATACTGTTGCATCATCTTCCTGCAGTCATCAATACAGACACAGCAGTGGCAGTGGTGTGAATTAAAAACGGATACACTGAAAACGTATCTGTTTTATAATTAAAGGATTTTAGAGTGGATTCATGCAGCATTTGCATTGAAGGAGTATATCATCTAAATTCTCAGTGAAATAAGTGCTATAGTGTGTCTGTGTACTGCTGGAAGAAATGCACACTCCTGCACATCCTGACCCCTGTGTGTTCACTGTGGTTCAGTCCGACTCACTTGGCAGCTGCTGGCACCTCCGCTCATGAATCCGGAGCAAAGCATGTTGTCGGTGAGGAGGTGGGGGTAGGCGTTCTTGCAGATCCTGTCATCGATGATGGGCTGCCTCAGACACTGCAGCCTGTCAGGGAAGTTGTCTGTGGAGCAGGAAGGAAAGTCTCAGTTACTGTATCTGCCAATATTCAAATATTATGAGTGAAGTAAGATGACTTCATTTTTCAATGGAAAGTTAAATGACTCCCATTTTGCAAATTAATCCTTATATATACAGCTCTGGAAACCACTGCAGCATTATAAGTTTCTCTGGTTTTACTATTTGAGTGAAATGACATTTGTTTTTATTCTGTAAACTACTGACAACATTTCCCTGTGTTGGCATTCAACAGACACTGGAATGGAATGGCTGCCATACATGTAGAGATTGAGATTTAAGAACAATTTTGAGTGGTCTCTTAATTTTTTTCCTGAGTTGTATTTGATTACTTCGGGATAAGGTTTTAACAATTTTTTTAACTGGGCGATAAAGCTCCACAAAATGTTTTAATTGCTGTCAAATTTGTATTTAACCGGAATTAAGATGGGAATAGAGCAAAAAAACTGCTATATTTTTTAATTAACGTTTTTTACTGAAAATAATATTTCCGGATGTAACTCCTTGAATCACCAATCAAAAAAATGTGAACTACATATGTTTTCTTAGTGACTGATTATAATTACATGTGTTTTGTTATGCGATTGTGTAACTGTAAATAACCCTGGGCATGAGTCATCCCTTACCTCCGTTGGCGGAGAGGTTGCCCCAGCCGGACACCATGCAGTTCTCGTCAGCCTGGGGGCAGCGGTTGGGCAGGGCCACGGTCTGGACGTTGCTGTTGAGGGTGGCGGGGCGGCTCAGTTTGATCAGCATGATGTCGTTGTCCAGGTTGTAGCTGTTGTACTGTGGGTGCTTGATCATCTTGACTCCATCGATCCACTGCTCCGTGCCCTCGTTCGCAGCGATATTGTGCTCGCCAAGGCGAACCTGGATACGACTGGAGGAATTATGAAAGTTACGTTTAGAAATATTTCAAATGAATTACAATCATAATGTATTTGGAGTCACATACATCAGTGGATCTCATTTAAAGGGTGGATTATCAATGATAAACATATACAAAACTTCTAGCAGCAGGCAGCAAGTCTGTCAAAAGGAAGTGGCTTAATTCAGAGCCACACTATTGATAAACGGATATAAATAATATATGAAATATATATTTTGGAAAGGTTGAAGTCTTCCTTCAAATTCCCAAGATTCTTTTCCACGGGTTTGCACTAAGTGGACTGAGTAGACTAAACCTTCGAGGTTAGACTTATTCGGCCTGATGGAAGAATGTAATGTGATTTAAAATATGTTATCGCATCTAACTTCTCTTTTGCTTATTGTAATTTCTAAGCTACAATTATAAATAATGAAAGCTGATGTTATAAAATAAAATTATTGGAGAGCCACACATAAAATGGTTATCAAATATACTGAAACATGTTGGTTTTACATGTGAATCTACTTGCAGTAATATTTATGTTTTGTAAAATTATGAATGTTAAACGAATGCTTTTCCAATACAAAAAAATGCATACTGTATATCTAATTTCAGATTTATTAAGTTTTTGACTGACTGTGATTATAAAGCATTAACTCTAGTTGGTGTAACTCCAGCTTGCCATCATAGCAGAGTAGCAAAACATATAATTATATTGAAAAAATACAGAAATGTACAAAAGAACCAACTCACAACATCTTTCGGTTTCTCCTTTTCTTATGCAGCGGGACGTTATGATTGATTACCTTATTTAAGATTTTCAAAAAATAACCAGGGATTGAGGTTACAAGAAAAAATCTGCCTGATGAGGAAAAAGTATTATTCCAGACTCGGGTTTCAGGGGGAAAACGTTGTGACTTCCTGTACTTACGACATGTAGCAGTGAGCAGCAGACACCACCCACTGGCTGGAGATGAGGGATCCTCCGCAGAAGTGGTATCCAGCGTTCAGAGACACCTGGTAGGGAACCGAGTTTCTGGGACACTCGTACCCGCCAACAACCTTCTCCTCCTCAGCAGCAACTGAAACAGCACATTAGGTCACTTTATTAACATGAATACAAAAATAAACAAAACCATTAATATGTTAAAAGTATTGTTTTAAACTATAAGGTCCAGAAATATTCATTTATCAAAACCAGAGAAATAAAAAGTGATCGGCAAGTCTCTTACACACTGCTCCAAGCAGAGCCAGGAATATCAGGGCCTTCATGGTAACTTATCTTTTGAATGTCATAGAAAGTTCAGCCTGTAACTCTTTATATACGCCTCATGCTCTTTACATTCGCACATTTCTCAAGGTCGGGAAGGTAAAATGCAAAACTGTTCTGGGAAAGAGCCATATGGCTGCAGGCAACAAAAAGACCTTGAACGACATCAGAACTAATAGATTAAACTCTGTTTAAAAAAAAAACTAGTTATGTGTTCAGCAATTAGGTATTTGTATGTTTTATGTGCATTTTATTGAGTAGATCAGAACTCGTGAATATGTGTTTGTATGTGTGTTCAAGGAGACCTGGCTAAGGTAGGCAGCAGTGTGAATACAACTGAAAACACACACAAAACATTTAAAAGGAGAGAAAAATCAAGAATAGGGAACTCAACATTAAGAGACATTTAAAATAGTCCGTTTTTTACCAGGTACAGAGTTATATATTTGTAAGTAAAACATCGATTAACCATCACAGATATTTAAGTTATACATATATCATGATCATGTAGATAATGAATATGAAACCTTTTCCCAGACGCCAGCACTTTTGAGAATTAATGGAGTCCAGTTTTAGATGCTGATGTGCACTGAACTGATGTCACATTTCTTATCTGTCAATAATATGTGAGACAGCAGTTGAGCAGGTGCTCCTTACTCAGCAGTTCGCTGCAGGAACATTCAATAGGTTTATCAGTGATCCACTCAAACCTGATAAGACTTTCTTTCCAAAACTACAGCAACGCTGGAAAAAAGGAACAACGTAAAGGAAATACTTGTGCATACAGATAGGTGACAAATTAAGTGAAATCGTCAATAAATTAAGGGGAACTATTATGCTAATGTTTTTTATAGTTGTTTTTTAAGTTTGTGCTTCTACTGTGACATGTTTACATGCTTTAATGTTCAAAAAGGTATTTTGGCTGCAGCCACTCTTTTCACCCTCTGTCTGAAACCACAGCCCAGATAACTGGCATGAACTTTGGGATTTTAGCCTTTGCAGACACTTTACATCAGGGGTGTCCAAACTGAGGAGCCACATACAGAAAGATATATGAAGGAATGGGCCCCTCCCAGAGGTGAGGTATATCGCCTCATAAGTTAAGTTATAAGTTGGAAAAATCAATCCAATGTAGGTAAACTTGAAAATGCTGTAAGAAAAAAAACAGCCTACATCACAGCTCTCCATAGGGTTTCATTTATCTTGTTAGCAGCTCATTCCTTGAAACAGAAGCTTCAGATCGCTTATAAGAGGAAATATGAAGGGTATATTTCAAGGTTGCTACGTAAATGTGTTATTTGGCTTTACATGTTTTCAACTTTAATTGACTGAATTTATTTGAAAAGTGGTATTTTTAACACATGAATACTGTGTAATATATTTTGAACATATATATTTAAGAAGTACAATATAAGACAAGCAGAAGTTTATTATACTCAAGTCATTATACTTTTTGAATTTGCTGAGGGCCTATTCAAAATGGCCCCCGGGCCGTAGTTTGGACACCCCTGCTTTACATGCAAGAAAACCTACTAACACACTACAGGAAAGAGAAAACATCAAAAAGCACAACAGGGCCCCTTTAAATAACACTCATGTAATGAAACAGGACAATAGAGGATTCTAAATAGTTTGTTAAAGATTAATATAATTCTGCTATGAATCCTCCGTCACCAGATATAAAACAAACTGAAGACATATATTTCAAACAGTCAGCAGACTTTAGAGGCTTTGCCATTGAGCACAAACCTGCTGCAGGTTAACACCCTTACACTTTTGTATTGTTTTTTTAAATGTTCTTTAGTTTATCACTGATCTGTAGATTTCTTGGTTCCGCTATCAGGAAAAAATACCATAAATGTAAAAAATATTAGACACATTTAAAATGTATATGGGTATTTATACAGCACATGTTCACTTAATCATCTCCATTAAAAAAATATGTTTACTGATTTGAAATCATATGAAAATCCAAGGCACATTTTAACATTTCCAATTTTTATTGAACATAAATTAAAAAATAAATGGAAGGTAAAAAAATATTTAACAGGTTTAGAAATTCTTTATACAATTTTGTACAAGCAAGGATCCATAATAAGCCAATTGAGTAACAAAGCTTTGCGTGTCAATAAATAAAAGAAAACATATTTCCACAGCATTCAGCCTTTTAACTAAAATGTCTCAAATCTCTCTAGATCCAGGAGCTAAACTCAGCTGCACAAAGGGGTAGGTCGCAGGCAGAATAGCAATAATTATTATTGATGTTATTTGTTTTATCAAGAAGTAATGATTGGAAACTGAACAATAAGGAATCTTTATTTTACCAAATGTGTCGTCAAATTCATTAAATCTTGCTTCATAATATATTTGAGGTAGTACAACTGTGAGAGACAAGAGGATGTGAAATGTAAGTTAAACTTTGATTAACTCAGCAATAGCTTCGGTTTATAAATTCAACCTCAACTTACAAAGAGAAAGTTAAAAGCTCAAACACATTTATTTCCATCAGCTTGTTGAATATACATTTATTGTTCAAATATACAAAAATACAAAAAGGTGTATAAGGGACTCACCGGAGCAAAATCATTATATTCAGTTTGAACCCTGGCTTCACCAGGGAACTCTCCCTTATAGACCTCAAATACACAAACATTACAAATTAAGAGATAAAGAACAGACAGTAATTGCGGGATAAAAGCATTTAGATCACAGCATTTCTGCCGTCACAAATAAAAACAGGACATTTCAACTGAGGGGGGGGAAAAGGGTTTGAGTAACTATATTAAAACTACCTTTTGGGTTAAATGTCCCCAGCACCTTGTGGTCTCCAGACTGAAGTTAAAACGCAGCTGCACTAAAGTTGCCTGGAGATGAATGTGTTTGAACGTCCCTCCTGCTGCTGGAGAAGGTCGTGTCAAAGTAAGGTGCTGAATAAATTCTCCTCATCCGCCTCTGTGACCTTGTATTTACAAATATACCAGCATAACAGTAATAGCTGCAATCGGGCTATCTTAGCTTGCACTGTTTGTAGCTGGTAATAATTGCCTTCTAGCAGAGGCTCCAGACAAATTCAATGTAAAAAAGTAAGAATGTGTGTATGAGATGGTGAAACGGTACAAAAATCCCCCAAAAAAGGTGCATTGTCCTTAATTTAACTGCACTTTCTCACAGACCAACACTCCAGCATTGACCTAAATAGTACTCATCAGAAACATATGGCTCTAATCTGGTTCACAGCAGTTCAGGGGACAGCAATGTCCTCCACCAGTCTATAAATTATGTTTCCAAGAAAGCAAAGCAGATCTGTGTATCAAAGAATTCCCTCTCATGGCTACGTCACAACAGTCGCCTTCATCAGTTCATCAGAGTCAGCCTCCTGAGTTCAAATGCATTTGTCAAGATGGCTATTTGTGCGTTGTGTGTGAGTGTGTGTTGTACTAGTTCAGGAAGCGACGGCAGCGCCTCGTCGAGCAGTTGCAGTGCAGCTTGCTCTTCTCGTCCTCGATGGGGAACTTGTAGTCGTAGGTGAGTTCTTCGCCCCGGTGGATCTTCCTCAGGGCGAAGATGACGATGTGCTTGCGTCCGTCGACGTTGATGACGCGAGAGTAGCAGTTGGGCTCGCAGGAGTGGTTGATGAAGCGAGCCGCGTTGCCTTGCATCGTCGCGTCAACCACGTCGAAGTCGTCGATGCGGAACATGTAACAGCCGATTCCCTGAGGGAGGGAGATGAAACCATCACATTTCACATTTTCAGTACATGGAACATCTTAAAGAATAAAAAAAGGTACTGTTGAGCCCAAAATCTAAAATACATATATTTACTCTTAACTTTAGAGCAATCCATCAATCTAGATTATGTTAGTGTGAGTTACGAGTGTTGGATATCAACATTTTCTGGACTTTTATCAGGTTTTGGACAAATCTTTTCTGTTTTGGAATAACATACTTTTAGAAATGTACAGACTTTTTTTTCCAGACCATATTTTCAAAAAGCTTAGATGTTAATTATGTAAATAAACAGTTTGAGATTCCATGTACGTTGCATTTTCCGTGTGCTATTATGCTGTAATTGCCAGGCAGTTGTAAAAGGAAATATATGAAATACATTATACCATACTATCTTTCATTTATTCCACCCTGTTTTTCTAACCTTACCCCTTAAGTTCTGCTGAATATTGTATAATAAGTTGAGTGTGATTATGAAGACTAACACAGTATAATAGTGTGTGTGTTTTCTAACCTTGCCGTCATAATATTTCTCCCGCTTATCAGTCAGCACAGAGCGAATGACGGTGCCAGCGTACTCGATCACCATCTCGCCAGCCTCGATGTTTCTTTTGCAGAAAAGGCCGCGACCATGAATTTCAGATCTAAGAGAGGATTTCAGATTAGGATCAGTTAAATACATTTTAACAAATGATATTTTGGACATTAATGAAATTGTCTTTTTGTCGTTTTTTTTTAACCTGTAAACTCCTACTGCTTCTTTGGAGATTTTTTCCAGGTGTCTGAATCTCATTGCCATGGGAAGCTCACTGCTGGTGGCTCGCCTGTAGGAGTGAGACACAGAAAGGATGACGTCACCATACCCATGATGTCCCGAATACCATTTTTCGGGCACCGGATATTCGGTAGTAATCAGTAGGGATGTAACGATACCAAAAACTCACGGTACGATAATATCGCGATAACAAGTCCACGGTACGGTATTTATCGCGATATTGAATAATAAAAAATAAATAAAAATAAAAATGTTTCAATAAAATATGTTTTTACTCGGAAAATGTTTCTTTATTACATAATAAATCTGATTTGTACAGCATTTTAGTAGGATAGCAGTATTTTAAAGTGTCAAAAACAAAGTGACAGTAACAGACTGGAACAAGAAAACCAGTGTTTTTGTACCTATAGTACTACCAAACAAAGTAGGCATTTTCTTTGTGCCACTGCATCTCACAAATAAACAGGACATTTAATAATCAGATCCTGCAATAAAATAAATCAAGTTTCACTTTAGTTTTTCAAGTAACTCAACTCAAACTCACTAGTCACTCACTCAGCATCATCAGACAGGTTTTTAGGAATATGAGAATGTCCACATTTCCAGGTATTTATACACTGGGATGTTTGGGCATTTACAATATCCCCTGCTCTGGAAAAAACTCTCTCGCTTGGTACTGATGTTGCTGGGACAGCAGTGGTCGCGTTAACGGAATATTTTATTTATCATCCATCCATCCATCCATCCATCCATCCATCCATCCATCTCTCGCTTGGTACTGATGTTGCTGGGACAGCAGTGGTCGCGTTAACGGAATATTTTATTTATCAATGACGGGAAAATCTGAAAGCAGTCTGTCATTTTGACAGATTAGAACAAACTCGGAACAGCGCCAACGTTTCCCCGCAGCGAGGCTCTGGTGTTATGCCGTGTTATGCATGCCCTCCAAAAGGAAATTATATAGTTTCCAAACCGTACTTTGCCGTACAGATCAACACATGTCTGGGAGGTTTTGCTTTACGCTGTGCGCGCTCCCGCGAGGTGCATGCACACACGGCATAACACCGCCCCCCCCTGTTGACAGTTCACGAGCGTGCTCTCTTATGAACTGTTCAGACCCGACGGGTAATAAGGGATTATGACGGATATTTTACGATCCTGTCTGTCAAAATGACGGACAGCGAAAAAGTCTAACGCCACCTCAGTGGGACGGAGAGATATGCTTTGGCCATGGGTGACAGCAGTGGGTAAAACTGTGCATTGTCTCTCCACCACCAGAGATGGGGTCGTTACTAAAAAAAAGTAATATATTACATATTACTTTTAAAAAAAGTAATATATTACACTACTTCGTTACTCTCTACATAAAGTTACTCGTTACTTTACTTGTTACTTTACTCGCAGGGCGGGCCCGCCCCTCCCTGCAGGCAGATCACGCAGACTGCTAAAGTTTCAAATGTTCTCTTTAGTTCAGTTTCCATTGTCGCATAAGACTGATCCAGATCCTGAATGTTTTCCTATCTGACCATGGCTGTCCTCTGTCTCCTGATATCTGTATATTTTGCGCAGTCTATCTCTGCTCACGCTGTTGCGTCGGCGTGTTCTCCTGCGTGTTGGCCATGTGTTGCACTGGAACCAGACACCGCAAAGACTTCAGCCGAGCACGTACGAACTGCGCATGCGTGAGTGGCAATAACTCTCCTTACCAGCAGGCGGCGGTAGTGTGTATTCATCATTCAAAACAGGCAACAACCGGAAAACAGAGAAGAAGAACAGACTACGTGATATAAACAAACAACAAATAGCTGTGCGTTAGCTTCACCTTAGCATGTGTTCTTTGCAGGTGTTTGTTGAGGTTTTATTATGACTGATTTTAGTAAGTAACGAAGTAACGCGTGTCGGGGCAATGTTAGTAACTGTAGTGTGATTACTGAATTATAAAAGTAGCGTGTTACACTACTCCGTTACTGACAAAAATAATATTATTACAGTAACGCGTTACTTTGTAACGCCCAACTCTGTCCACCACTTCAAAACAATACAGTTTTTGCCAAGAAGGTGCGGCTTATTGACAGGGCGAGATATAAATATACTGTTGGTACTTGTCAATGTCTCTAGGTGTGTAAATGTAGCCCTGTAAATACGATGTCCTTTTGTGTTCTGTTGTTTTATGTTCATGTTGTAACCTACTTGCTGCCATGTTGGACAGGTCTCTCTTGAAAAAGAGATCGATGATCTCAATGGGACCACCTGGTTAAATAAAGGTTTAAAACAAAAAAGTAAAAAAAAAAAATATATATATAAAAAAATTAATAAAAAAAAAAAATCGCGGTAGATTTTGTCAGTCTCACGACGGTATTGGGACGTTTATTTACCGCGATACCGCGATATTCGGTATATCGTTACATCCCTAGTAATTGAAGCAGTGAATATTCGGCCCGCGCGGGGGGGGGGCGGGGGGCGTAGTAATCAGCAGCGAACCGCCTCAACACGTGTATTTCGGTGTATTCACGGCATTCATTTTCTTATTCTACAGTATTGTTGTTTTATAGTTATTTGTTAATGTAACCCAATTTGTGTTCTGTGAAATTTAAAAGGATATCGCATTGTGTTTGTTACTTTCGTTGCAGTTGTATATGTCTTAAGTGTAATTTGGCTTGGCTTCCTATTTATGGACATGTAGCGCTGTTGACAGGAAGTTGTTGTTGCTTTGGAAACGTGACGGAGATTAACGGAGAAAAGTAATATCTACATATAAAGACGGAGAAAGTAAACGATAACGTTTATGGTTAAGTGTTAGCACCCCCTGAAGAGGCACAAGCTCTTACGTTGATATTGGAGATTTCAATAAATTCCATTTGAAAAAAAAACGGGGAAAAAACAAACAAAACGAATATCCGATAACGAAATTGAAACCCGAATAGTCCTCCAACGAAACGAATATTCGGGTACAGCCCTACCATGGACAAGGGGCAGATAAATTACCACCTGGAATAATACTGTTCAAGTTAAGATTTTTAAGCTTGGATCATAAAGTGCCACTAATGTAATCCTCTTACCTGGAAGATTTAAGTGGGAATTCATCCTCCTCTTCATCAAAGGGGCCCACCATGACAGGGAGCTCTCTGTGCTGCGATGCCAGGAAGTTGAACATATCAAAAGTCGCTTTCCTGATTATAGGGAAAAAAGTTAATTAATTTGAGTTGCAATTTAAATTTAAATCAAGTTTTATTTATATAGCACATTTCTAAACGATTTTTGGTCGAGCCAAAGTGCTGTACATATAATAAAAATAGCCTACAGTAGAGACACTTTACAGCAAATACAACCGCACAGATTGTTCAGAATATCAGTATGAGAAAAAAAAAATGAATTGAAATAATAAAACAAAAAATTACTGAACAAGAAGAAGACACAAACCAACCCTGAGCAAATTAACTCCAGTTATGACAAAAAAACTGTACCGTGTGTAGACTTCAGTACGAGCGCAGCCGCTTGGATTGAGAGGAAGCTCTTCCTCTATGTTCTCGCAGCGGTGGAAGCGGAAGCGATGGCGTTTGCAGTTAGCGGCACCATGCAGCTGCTCCAACAGGAAGATGACGGCATCGTGAACGACGCCGAGCACCCGCGGCCCGCTCATCCCGCCCAGAGGCAGCTGCTTCAGGTGGAAGCCTGTGCGGGCCTCAAGGACGCCGTCAATCACCGCTCGCCAGGCCACTGAGGGGGGGCGGAGATAAGAGGGTGTGAGGACTGAACTGCACACAAGCTGACCAGACTCTCTTGTTTTGCTTGTCTCAAATGCTTTAATCCATGCTAAGATTAACAGTAGTTTTAGTTAAAATATTGTTAACAACAGTGTTGAAGTGTTCACAAAAGTTTAATTCGGTAATCATCTTAAATACTGTTTCACCAATACACCCAGAAGTAGGGATGGGTATCGTTTGAAATTTATCGATTCCGATTTCGATTCCGGTTCTGCTTATCGATTCCGGTTCTTATCGATTCCGGTTCTTATCGATTCCCCGTTTTGATTCCAAAATTGTAAAATAAAGAGGTCAAACGTTTAGATAACAAAAATATATTTATTCTTAAAAGCTTTAACTGAAATTGTTACTAAAAAATATACATGCAATACAAATGTATTGCACAATAGCTGTGCTTTATTTTAACTGAGCTATGCCTGTGGCAAGCTATTAACAGGCATTACACTTTGCCTTTTCTTTTTTAGTGTAGTGGAGCCTCACTTCAGAGTGTTTACCGCGACCTATCTTTGGTGTTATGAAGTGACTGAGCTCGTGAAATGTCTACGGGAGGGCGGGGGAGCATCGCTGCGGGGCAACTGTGGACCTCTGTCGCCTGTCAGCGCAATTTATATGATGCCGTTTAAAAAAATTAAGGGCGGTGCCGGCCGTCAGCGTACCTAGCCGGCCGTCAACGGCCCGCTGACGACCGGCCGTTCTGTGATTCTCCAGGTCCGCCCTGTATTCCACCGGGTCACCGCAGCACCGCGGTGCAGACGGACCCGCTGGAATACAGGGTCTACCGCGTTTAGGAACCGTTAAGCAGAACCGAAATTGTGTATTTTGTATGGGTACCCGGTACCCGGCATTTTCTTATCGGTTCTCATCTGGAACCGAGTTTCGGTTCCCAACCCTACCCAGAAGAAAACACTAGACCTAAGATGAAAAGCTTGGTTAAATGGCAGTTAATGCAGGATATTTAAATCATGTTCTTGTTATTTAATTACTCAATGCGAAAAACTAAAAGGGATTAAAGCAATTGCAGCATAGCGCCATCTGCTGGAATGTCAAGGCTCTTCAAGCCAGAGGTTTAATGTAACCAAAATTGGCAGTATTATTTCAGTCCCTATGATAACATCATTTGTAACCAGGCAATATCGTATCAGTTACATTTTGTTTTTCCTGAAAGGATATGTTGTTGTTGTTGTTTAGTTTCAGATTAGGACATTATTTTTCACTTATTTTCTCCGTTTTAGTTTTAGGTTACGATATAAGCCAGCTCCAAAACAGTGTCCCAAGCACAATACACCTAGAAGATTATACCTCAGCTACTAGGTTAGCTTTGTTAACATATTCAGAGCTAAGGACAGAACACACGCAGCTCTTACCCTCTATGCTGTTAGCCTTCACACTGAATCCGTCCTCGCTGGTGATTTCGAAGCGCAGGTGGGGCTGGTTCATGTACGTCCTCTTCCTGTGTTTGGGTACAGGTGCATCTTCTTCTGAGCTAAAACCTGTACACGTAAATAGTTATCACAAAAAGGTGTTACATTTCCAGAAAGCATTGAGAGCTATACATAGTTAAACAAACACCTATGTATTAAGGTCAATATTAAGAGATAGAGAGATAGATAATGTGTGGCAAATTAAGAACAAGATCTAAAATTGCCAGAATACAAAAGTTTTAGTCTCTGAATGTTTTAAACAATTGAAGATAATGTTTAGTTGCAAACCTGAATAAGGGCCCCATTCAGAGAGGTCTCCGTGGCGAGCGCCGACCCACGTGTGTGTTTTACTCTGAATGGGACTGTTGGTTTGTACATGTGCGGGCGGAGTCTCAACCCGAGGGTGCCTGAACAGAGAGGACAAACATTTAAATAAACAATTATATAATTATAATATATAATACAAAAATGAACACATGTAAATGAAATGTAAAAAATGGGCATGATTTGGTCATCTCCAAAATAAGCCAATTTAGCAAGAAATACTAAAAGCATACATAAGATCTTGCACATGGCGATGGGTAAACACTAAACATTGATCATTAAATTCATGAAACCCAACAGCAATCATTACTCCAATCATTCTTGTTTCTTTATAGCACAGTTATAAGGCTCTTTTTTGAGAGATCCTTTCAGATTAACTTACCTGGAGGGTGTAGGAGGAGGAGGTGGAGCGGAAATCCTTAACTGCTCAGGCTCATGTGAAATTTTTTCCTGGTCCATATCAAGGATGTCCGTCATTGATGGAGCTTTAATCCTCACACCACTCGGTCTAACGGAAGAAATCGAGAAAGATTTTGATGACTTAATGACTTATTCCTGAGACTAAAACGTTATGCGATTGATTGAAATTCTACGCCTCCAGGGTCATCAAGTTTTATTGATGCCACCATGTTTTATCTGACAGTTGAGGGTTGCAAAAACTCATGAATTATGGCGTCAAACTCTGCATCTACTGCTGTAAATGTCTTGTTCAAGCTTTTTCCTTGATGTAAAGGAGTACTGTGATTTATTGAAATGTAATTTTGCTGCATTTATCAGTAATGTGTCTTCCAAGTTATATCCCTTTAAGAAAAGCAGCATTGTTATTTATCGTAACATTTTTAAATGTTGGTAGGTAGACGCTAACAATAAGTTCAAACTGAAACAGAAAATCCTTTTTCTTTTTAGAATTGAATGACATTGGTAATAAGAAAATATTATCCATTCTCATCCTTTTTAATAGTTATTATCATAGGTACTAAGTTAAACATGCATTGCCGAGAAGAATGGAATCTTTAAATACCTAGCTTCATTAACTTGATCCAGCTCACTTGAGGGATCCCTCAAAAAGTCCATCTTGGATTTCTTATTGGAGGGTCGTTCGGACACCGCCGACACTCTCTTGACTCTGACCTGCTGGCGTGATGACGAGGCTAGTGCTGGTTCGATTACTAAACTGCTGTGGGATTCTGAATGTGCAGCTGGTGACTGATCTGAGACCTCTGAAGCCTGAACCGGCAATGGCTTTCTGACCTTTGGCCGGCAAGTTTTACTGAGGATGAGGGGTGTAGTCTTTGGCACTTCGCGGTGGGTGGCCATGGCTCTGTCGATGATAGCCTGGGCTGTGCTCGCTTCAATGCTAGAGAAACGTGCGTCAGGGGTTGTCTGCAGGGCCGTCTGCAGGGCCGTCTGCAGGGTCGTCTGCAGGGTCGTCTGCAGGGTCGTCTGCAGGGTCACCGGGGTCGTGGCAGCTGCAGCGGCGGCGCTTTTCATAGGCATCACTCTGACGATGATTTTTCTCTCGGTGGTTGTGGTGTTGTTACTGGCGGAGGGGACGTTTGTGGCGGAGAGGCTGGACCGTGGCTTTATCACAACACGAGGGACCGAGCGCTGCAAAGCATTCCCGCTGTGGAGAATCTTGGCAATCTGGCTTATTTTATTGTAGGCAGGAGAGTTTGTGCTGAGGGTCTGATAAGTGTTGGATCTCGGGTCTTTGATCAGGATCTGACCCTGTCGGTTGACCAACAGGACCTGAGGGGCGGGAGCCGGCGAGCTAGTGGCTGCGGCTTGATTCTGAATCGCAACCTGCTGCTGACTTCCTGTCGGGTTGTCCAGGCGAATGGCGATGGTTCGTCCCTGTGTGGCAGCAGCCTGAATGGGTACGTTTAAACCATTGATCATGATCGGGGAGGTGATTGTGCGAGGAACAGTGACAACAGCGGGGGAAGAACTGTTTACAATCTGTACAGGCCGAGGTGGCAACATCATTTTGAAGGTGCGCTGCTGTGGAAGACAAGGTTTTGGCGACAAGCGATGGAGGTTTGTTGGTGGACATTTTGTCTTTATGATGATTGCTTTCATCGGCGCTGTGGGAGACTTTTTGGTTTTACGCTCCTGACCCTCAGCACGATCTGGAGAGTAGTCAAGGTCTTTCAAATCATCTTTAAACCCTTCAACAGAGTCGACCGATGAGCAGCTGTCTTCTTTGAGGCCTAATTCAATATTATTCGTGCACACAGCAGTGACAACTTCAGTGCCAACTTCATTGACAACTTCAGTGACAACTTCAGTGCCAACTTCAGTGCCAACTTCAGTGACAACTTCAGTGACAACTTCAGTGACAACTTCAGAATTAGTAAAATGGCCTGTGGTGGAATCCAGAAACAGATCCGCTTGAGCTGTTGGCGTTTCAAAGCTCATGGGAACTTCTTCCTCCTGAACTGACACCTCGTCATTTTCATAACTATTTTCAAGGATATCACACGGTGGAGTACTTTCATGTACCTCAAGGTCATGGCTTGACTTTGGCATGCTGTAGATTGAATCCAACCTCTGAAGAGTGACTGTCAGCTGCTTAGTTGGTGTATTATGTGTGCTGTGGATCTGACTCCCTCCATGTTCTATTTCTGTGTCCTCCTGAGCTTCATCATCGATCGTTTCGCTTTCATCACTCTCCGACCCTCCGTCCGCTCCATCTAACTGGGAGATGGACTGCGTTGAAGTGAGCTGTGCTGAGGCGTCCGAGCTGCTAGCTGCTTCACACACAACTGTGCGGGCAAATTTAAAGTAATGGCTTGAGTCTTCAACTTCAGAGTCATTTTCCCGGTGGTCTTCTTGCATCTGCAAATCTTGCACTATGTTTTCCACCTCTTCCCTCCCGCCCGGTGCTACACAGTGAAGGCCAACGTTCTCAGTAAGCAGAGCCTCGTCAAAGTCAAGCTTAGCGTTCAGCATGGAGGCCACGGCTACCTCTGTGTCCGTGTCGAACACCGTGTATGGCAGCTCCTGGGCCATCAGGTGGGCCACCTCCTCCTCTAGGTTACCAGGTGCTAGTGAGATCCCATTGGTCGTGGCCACCGCTGCGTCTTCTGCCTCAGACGATGCTAGGAAGTCCTGAGGAACTTCTGCAGAAATGGGTGTGGTGATTTTAAAGTTCTGCCTCCCTCTGGGGGAGTGTGTGATGGCTCCTTGTCGAGGTGACAGCCCTGCAGTAATGCTGGAGTTGGATCGGGGTGGTGAGCTCCAGACTGGTGGTGATACTGAGTTTTGTCGTGACAGAGGAGGAGACGCTGCCCCCAAATTGGATGTCCTTGGAGGGGAGCTGAACAGAGCACACCTGGATTGGATGGTGCCTCCAGAGCGGAGGGTCATCGGCACAGACGGGTCGCTATCTGTTGGCGAGGAACTGCAGCGGCTTCTTGATGAGAGCCTGCGAGGCCGCCGGGTGTCCTCCAGGTCCCTCAGTGTCAGGATGTGATGCGATTTGGGAAGAGCGGACCCTGAAGGCATCAAACAACAAAGAGTGAAGAGAAGGCACCAGTGAGGTCTACTTCAGGAATATAGTACCATTTTAAAATCAAAACATATTAACCAAACTATTTACCTGGAGATGGAAGAGGTCGAGAAGACCCTCCTGCTGGTTTCCTGGTCTGTGTGTAACCAGGACTTTTGGACCCGGGTGTGTTGTGCTGTTTGGAGTTAGGTGATGGAGTAGTGGGCTTCACTGGGCTGGATGACGAGCTTAAACGCTCCGGGGACTCCATATCTGGCAGGGAAGAAAAAGTGTTAAACAACCACAACCAGCGTGCAACCGGAATCATTTATCCTCTACTATTAGCATTGTAAGATAAACACTTTAGCGCAACCAAAAATACAGTTGGATTCAGAACAGCAGTCTGTCTGTCATTCAATAAAGAAATACAAAGTTCCTGCTGACCTCTGTGGTGGTTGGGGCTGTGGATTATGGTGTGATTATCTTCATTGTCCCACCGTGGATCTTGTTCCTCGCCAGGCAGAGGCGTGCTAACTTCTGTCACTTTACATGTGTACTTGCAGCGTCTGCGAGGGTCCACAGTGCTCCAGTACAGCCGGGAACATCTGGTAAAGAAAGGGAAGAAGAAGACATTTACATAAATCAAGTCGTTTTGAGAACAATAATTATATAATCCAATACATCTGATTATTTTGCCAGTGAACACACGTGCAGCATGATTGTTGTGTGCGATATACAACTTCAACTTGCTGTTTTACTGACACAGATAGTAAAACAGAAAGTTCAATTGGTTAAATTTAATTTAAAGTCGGATTTGATTTTTCCAGCACAATTAGTTTGACATGGTTTGAGTAAAAGTGGCAGAATGTCCTGGAAATTGGTTCAGTTTTAGATTCTCTTAAGTTGTTTAATAGTAAATGCTTTTGAAAAATGAAATATTACAATCAGTGCATCTCTAGTTTTTAGTCACCAACATAATGAGAGATCTATCAGTTGAATGTTGTCAATGAGCACTTACTGATAGCCGACGGGATACAGCATCCTCCCATTTGACGACAGCTCTGATAACACACCAAGTTTCTGAATCTGCAGAGAGCCTTGAAGAAAGGAGAAATTATGTGTTTTAGCACACTGAGGGCAGTCTGTCCTTTAGCAGTAATATTTCCTCTCTTTATGGAGACACAAGTGGCTCAAATCAACCACAGACAGCATACTAGATAATCTCACCTATGGTCATGTTTATGGTTTCTGGCTCCAGGCCTGTGAGGAACTTTCTTCTGAGAGTGATCCCATCAAAGTCCACGTATACCCGCCGAGCGACTTCAAACCCTTTCCCAGACACCGTCTAAGAGACACAAATAAATACACATCGATATATACTTGCACCTTGTGTGAGTCTGTTATTTCTGATCATTCCTGTATTTTTTTTTAATCTATTAATATTCAATTAATAGACAGCTTTTCCAAGTCACTAATGTGCGAATATTCAGGATTATACCAATAATGGAAAATTAACACAAGTATCTCAGTATGAGTTGTTTTTATACCGACCCGTGACAAAAGCCTATATTGTCCTATCCCTACCAATCAAAACAATATGATAACAAATATTTTTGAAATTGGCAAATCTTCGATGTTATTAATTTCCCTTTTGGTACTCTTATATTTTTGGAAACGTATACTTTACTAATCTTGAGTAAATGAGTTTATTACAGAGTCTAAACTATTGTAATTCTACTGGTAACCTAAATAAAACATCTGAGTTCATCTTCCACTACTGTTTAAAAACAAATGCAAGAGAAACCTGGGAGGAAATTATGTCTATACCTTCACACTGACAAGATCTCTGTGTTTGAAGCAGAACATCTTCCTGTCCCGCTGAAACACACAGTGCTGGGCACGTGCACACATGAAGTGGAAATTACTCTGGCAGGTGGAGAGACAGCAGCCCACCGTGGCTCCTGACTGTCCACAACGATCACAGCGCTGGAGAATCAAGGACAAAAATCATGTTTTATTGACTAAAAATGATATCATAAAATGTTTCACACAGGTTTTCACTTATAAGCCAATCCTAAAACATTTAGAGCTAGAGAGACAAAATAACTATCCCTTTATTTCCAGGTAATATCTTACCAGGTGGCGCCCTCTTGAGACAGCGCTGTGCACTTGTAAAAGAGCACAGTTATCCTCATACACCTCTGCAGACCAGAGGCAGCAGTTAATGTGAGCCCACTCATTCTGTCCCAAGTACAGCAGCCGCCCTGCATCCTGTCAGGAGGGAAATACAATCATGTCGATAAATAAGCAGCAGATAGAGTAGCCTAGACCAAACAATGAATCAAGGAAATAAAGTGTAAAATAGTTGCTGGTGGAAATGTTTAGTAGTTGCAGCCGCTGCACCAAAAACACATAAAGACAGCCAAACTCACCCGGGGAGGATAATCTCCATTTTGTTGGCACAGGGCACACTGCCTCATATCTCCAGTGTTGGTACTATTCAGATCACCCTTTACACCTGTGAACGTACATACAAAAGAACATACTGTATCATACTGTATATATTTAATGCGAGAAAGCACAAATAAGTACAGATTCAAAGATATTGCATTTCCGGCTACACAATTATATTAAACATATTCTACTATATATAACTACCTTGAGTTTTATATTTGTACATGTTCACTAATATTTAAAACGTTTCTCCTTATTATGTTTATAAACTAATTCATGATTAAGGTCTTGACTTTTCAGATACTACAGAAATATGACAAAGAAAGCACCTTTTTGGCAATTGCATGTGAGAATCCTGTAAAGACGATACTTCCCTATCATAAATTAACAACAGTTGTTTGTCAAAAGGTTGATAAAACATGATACAAATACAATAGTTTACATACCATGTGAATACAGAGTGCGGCCGTGCGGTACACCAAACTGCTGTGTCGTGACTGAGGAAACCACAGACTCAGCTTTCCCCGCATGTGGGCCCCTGGGCTCTTTGGGCTGGTATGTCCGTTCCATCCACTGCGCATAGCTGTGCTCCTTAGATGGAGGGAGGACTGCTTCAGGGAGCATGCCACTACAAAGAGAAGTGTATTTGTTATATATCAAACCAACTTTTGGGGGGGTTATGGACTAGGTGAACATAGTCTGCAAATTAATCGATAATAAAAAAAGTGATGTTAGTTGAAACCCTTATATTAAGGGACTAATGTGTGTAAACTTTACTTGGTTTTTTACCTTGGTAATTCTCCAGATGACAAGTTCCACTTTTTCAGTTGGCTTGCAGGAAACCAACTGAACATCTGCTCAACGACCTGTAAGAAAATAAGAATTAAAGTGAGATCACCGGTAATGTTATGAGGTAGAGGTGTCTTTTCTTGGCTGTGTTTTGGGTCTAATAATTGAATGACAGCCTGTTAACCCAGAGGAATTTAGCAGTGACTTAATCTTGGTAATCTGACAGAGGAAACGGTACTAAAATAAGTACTCAGTCTAGGTTTTGGCTGATAGCAGGAAAGCAAATCGTAGAACATGGTATGGAAAGGATTCCCCTACACAAAGAAATGGAGAAACTAACACATATTTTAAGAACAAAAGAAGACAAATATTGAATTTAAAAGATAAAAATCGCAACACCAATAGCCTAAGTGAATAGACATAAAGATATAAGATTGTGACTATAAGATGTCTTCCCCTCCTAGTGATGTTAATGTGGAAAAAGGAATACAAATGATTAGATTTCTAGTGGACATTTTGAAACGTTGATCTCTAAAAATAAACTAATACCGTGGGAGATTTGTGAGGAAAGCTTACTTTGACATAGCGTTCCCCAGCCTGACTGGTGGGTCTCAGCTCCTCGGGGAGAAGCTCCTCCTCCTTCAGCGCTTTCCTCATCACAGAGACAACATCCGCATGGAAAGATTTCTGAAGGAGCAAGAAAGAGAGAAAGAAAGAAAGTCAGGGCTTCAATTATGAGGATTTAACAACAGTAGATATCCAAAAAGGAAAATGTCATTGCTACTCTCATTTATTTCTGACTGCTTTTATACATGCACAGGAATTTAAAACAGAAATGGCTCGTCTTGGTAGATTGTCAGTAAGAATATACTCACTATTGAGCTGTATCCGCCCACTTGAAACTTGTTTTCCATGGCTTGTAGATCACACACTGGTTGCTGTTCCCTGATAAGTTGTGTGTTGTTTGTTTCCCGACACTGAAACACAGAAACCACAGGACAATGATATACAAAAACAAAAAACAATAACACACTTGCAACAAAACCGAAGAATTTTAAGGGAAGGAAAGCATTACAAATGTTTGTTTATCAGTGTTAAAGTCAAGTATTAGAATCTTGGGGTATTATCTTTTAAAACAGTGCTTGTTCTGTTTAAGAAACTGGAAGACTTTACCCTGTATCATTGCGTGTGGGATTGGGTAGAAATGAATAGATGTTGGACTTCGGTGACAAGATATATTTCCCAAATAACCTCGTCTCCAATACCTTTAAGCCCTACACTTTGTATTTTAAGCATTTATCAAGAAGACTGTTCGCCATCGGTTAGGGAAAGAAAAATGGTTAACCTATGCCTTCTACAAGCCAAGCGCTCAATTGCTCAAAAATGTTGGTTGCCCCTCCCTGGGCCACTGGTTTAACAATTTAACTTCGAGTCTGGCTCTTGAGAAACTCACATATATAGTAAGGAAGAAAGCTTCTGAATTGTACTCCATTTGGAAGTTGTTTTGGGAATTTATAAAAAAATGGGGACATTGCAGAAGCTATGGAAGGTTAGAGTGAAAAGACTAAACTCCTGTGAGGAAATGTTGACTATGGTTGATCTATTTGGAGAATTGTAAGCTGTACTCTGCTCTGTTTGTGGATGTGCCTTTATTGTATTTTTGTTGAATTTGCAAATGTAATTATATTCTTGGTCTGTACTTTAAACTGATTTCTAGTAACTGCACACTTTTTATTTTAGCATTATTTTGTAATCTGCCATAAGTCTAATGTTGGGGATTGTTCGGATGTGTTTGTGTAATGTGATAAATGTAAAAAATCAATAAATACATGTTTTTAAAAAAAAAGAAAAAAAAAAGAAACTGTTAGACTTTTAACCTGAGCTTAATACACAAATTCGGAGAAAAATTAAGAATGATTATGACTGAAGAAAAAAGGCAATGTCCAGTGGATAAGCTCTTACCATTTTGCACTTGAGGAGGTGCTGTGTGGTGTTGTGGGAGAGGAGGTCAGTGAGCACCTCCTCCAGCCCGTCCACCAGCCTCCCCTGCAGCTCCACCTTCAAGCTGCTGCCTTCAGTCGGCTGCCCTCTGCAGGGGGAGCAGCTGAAAAGCACTTTCTCCGTTTGGCTCGACAGCATCCCAACCAGCTCATCTGCATGACAAACAGAGAGAGTTCATTATTATACAGATTTATCATTCATTTTGGCTTTAAAATAAGTAAGCTGTAGTTGAAGTTAAAGCATGCACTTGTATTATTTTTACATTAAAACTTATGTTTCATTATACATACGAAACTATGATAATATATACTGCAACATAACATGGTGATTATCTAACTAACAAGAAATGAATTAGTGTTTGTAATATAAAACTCTGAATCATTTTTGGAATTTAATAAATAAATAAACAGAGTTACTCACCCGAAAGTCCTTCACATGTGTAATGGATCCAGTGGCTGCACTGCGAACACTGAATCATCTGTGTGTGTTGATCATTGGCGTTGTAGCACGTGTTGCAGACGGTGCAGAAATTACCTGATGGAGATACAGATCATATAATTAGTGACATCATCCATTGCTAGAGCCACACATAGAAATTCAGGTCAGCTTTCCAAACATATAGCCACTTAAAAATATGGCTGCAAATCATAAAGAAAACACTAAAGAGGTCTTACCTTTTTTGTGGAGAGAAGAACAGTCAGGACAAAGATCCTGCTCGTGGTTCCAGTCCAAGTCCCAGGACTTTCCAGGAGTCACGCCGCAGCTTTTACAACGAATGCATGTCATGCACACCTGCACAAAGACAACACAAAACAGCAAGCATGAGGCTATAGGAGTGATCACGATGAAAAGGCAATTTTTGTTATGGTTTATCTCTCAACATCCCTCAGACACTCCAAAACATTTCAAGGAATAGAAATATGAATATCTATTTGTATATTACCCAAGGCATGCTGCAGTTCATAGGTTTGGGGTAGGTTGGTCCCAAGCAGGAGGGGTGGTAGGAGGTTTGGCATCTCATGCACTGCAACACTGGCTAGAGAGGGGGGAAAACAGAAAAGTACTTTAATAAGAAGTTAATAAATAGCATAAATGTTTGACTAGCACCTCATCATCTAAATAAAGCAATATGATCTATTATTCTACCTATTATCCTATAGTATATTTTGCATCGGAGTTGGAAAAACATAGCGTGTTAATTCAGAACATAAAGTAGAAGAAATAGATATGAAATTAATAAAAAACAAAACAGTATAAAAAGTAACGATCGTGTTACCTAAAGACACTATTGATATACATTTCTCTTAGAAATCCATAGATGGAAAAAGTCCAAGAATGAATTGCCTAGTTGCATGTACAATATTTTAAATTATTCATATTGCTTGTGTGGAAGCCAACTAATTAAAACTAATACTGTTGGTTTTGTACCCACTACTAAAGGATATTACCAATGGGTCTTTATATTTACAGTATGAACTGAAGGAATATGTTGAGCAAGGAAAATAAATACATATACAGCTGTTTTAGAAAAAAGGGTTTCCTTTAAGGGCTGCAGGGTCGCATACCTTTGTGCTCTTGCTTCGACGGCCACACACGTGACAGAACTTGCAGCGCCTGCAGCACCAGTTCTCCTTGTTCTCCTCCTGGGGGCGCTCCTCGGATGAGAGGCAGAAACTGTGGAAAGGCTCACAGCAGATCTGGCAGAATATCATCTGAAGGAAGAAGGAAACAATAGTGTTATTATTGGCACTGCAGAGCACCAGAACACCTAAACAACAACCTAAAATCCAACTCCAGACATGCCATGATTAATATTTGTTTAAGCATGGGTTTGGTTTCCCACATAAATAAAAAAAAGTCTCTCATCCAGAAATTCTTGATCCGGCCTCGTCACGTCTAACACTGATCGCACTACCTCAAGTTGTATGTATTGTGATGTGCTGGAGCAATAAGTTCTGGCAATTTTTTTTTAATGTTTACATCTCAGATTTTTAGATACTAGGGACAGGGTTTCCCACACATAGACTATACTTGGGCGGGCCGCCCAGGTATATTAACGGCCGCCCAAGTATATTTCGCGACCCATTTAGGTTTTTATTTTCTTTTTTCTTCGTCCGTGACCATGACGCCATCTGTGATCGATTAACTTGTGGCCAATGATCCCTCGCTCTACGCCTCCTGTACCCAGTCCCGGACTGGCCATCAGGAGGACCGGGGGATTTCCCGATGGCCTGGCCTGTTAAGTGGCCTGCCTCACACAGGGTGACTGGCTGTCTACATGATGTGGCCTGCCGACATGGCCACTGTCATACAGATCATAAATCAAAGCCCTTGATTGGTCTCTGTGTGTCATTCAAGCTTGGGATAACCTCAGCTCAAAATAAATGTTAAAAAAAAAAAATATTTACATTTTCTTTATTTTTCAATATCGTGATACATACCGTACCGGGGACTTGTTATTGCGATATTATCGTACTGTGAGTTTTTGGGATCGTTACATCCCTATTAGATACAGATACAACTTGGCATAGTCAAGGTCAGACCTTAAGAGATTAAACATAAGTGGAGGGGATCTTAAAGGACATCATAGATTGGAGATTAAATATGAAATACTTAACGAACCGCTATATTTCTCAGAACAGTGTTTTTATAGGTAACTATAATACCTTTGTTCTATAAGCTCTGGTAAAGCTCTGATAAAGAATTACCTCATGTCGTCCTTTACTGGCGCAGAGCAGGCAGACAGGTTGTGGGGTGGTGGGGACGGACGTGAGGACGCTCAGGCCGCCCATCAGCCACACGTTCTGGACAGCACAGTCTTCCTGGGACACACAAGGAAAGGAACAAAAAAGGATTTTGAGTATCAGTTCACAAATCAAATGTATAGAAAAAATATCTACTTCATATTCCCATAACCTGGCCTATTTATTTATAATATCAGGATTAGGCAAGTGCAGTACAAAATATTTAGTTGTTCATCTTTTCAAGCTAGAAAAAAAATGTAACTTAAAGCCAATGACAAAGCAGTTTCTTTCCAATTAATTAGTTTACTAGTAATTTCAGACTCTGTTCCCTAAACAGTTCGTCATTAAGAAAAGATAATGTGAAGTTGTACACCTCATGCTATAAAATGACCCAAAATGTATGCAAAAACTCACCTTGAAGTCCACACGAATCTTGTACTTGTTCTGCAACAGGCCTTTTTGGGGAAAACCGTTGGTTAACCCAGTCAGGCTGTTCCCTGATGCACACTCTGCAGGATTCTGGGAACGAAGGACATATTGTGTGTCAGTTTTTACAGAACTGTCCTCCTCCTCCTCCTCCTCCTCCTCTTCCTTTTGAGGCTGATCCACTGGCCTGTCCTCCCGCTCCTTTAGCTGGCCCTCCTGCAACTCTGTGTGTGGATGGACGGTCTGAGGGAGCACTTGAACAGTTTTATCTTTGTTTGTTCTGTGCGTCTCAGGCAAAACATCCGAGGGCCGCACCTCAGACTCTGGATGTTCCTGAAAACACAACTTTGACGAAACCTCTGTCACAGCTGACTGCAGTGTGGACTGGGGTTCTTGTTGTTGTTCTTGAGATGATGGGATCATTTCGGGCAAATGCAAGGCTGATTCCGCCAGAGTCTTAGGCAAGCGGGCCAATCGTAACGACAGGAATTTCTGTGAGCGGTCTGTTATGGGATAGGGGGAAGCTGGAGAAGCGGGATGTGTTACAGGCTGGGGAAGTTCTGGAGAGCACTGCGGTGTGGAATGTGATGAATGTGAAATAGCAGGCTGCGTCATTAGCTGGGTGAATATCGGAGGTGACTTTGCAGCACCAACATCCGGACACTGGGGGCACTGCTTTAGCAAAAACAGAGCGGACTCCAGGGTATTATCAGGCAGGCGGTGTAAGTGTATTTGTAGCTGCCGCTTCGGCTTTGGGCTTCTGGATGGGCTGGTTTCTGGTAAAGTGTCTCTGGACTCCATCGGCTCCGTGTTCTCCTGTTCCTGTGGAGGAGGGCACTGCCTAAGCCAACCAGCACGACAGGTTCCACAGTGACACGAATACGAGTGACATGCAGAGGTGGCGACTGGCAGCAGCCAAAGTGACAGAAAAGGAATGCAATAACAAGACTAGGCAGGAATAACAAGTAAGAAAAGGTAAAGAAGAAGCAAATGCATTCCAGAGTAGAAAAGATAACCCAGAGTGGAAGCTCAAAGTAGAAGAACTAGATAAGTAAAGTGTGCAAGTCTCCAGAATCATAAAATCATTTTTATAAGCTATATTCTCCAATAACTTTTCATGTTTTGTGTTATTTAACAAGGCAAGCATTTAGGTGTGTAAGCTGTGCCATGCAAATAGGCAAACAGTACGAGAATATATGATAAGTTCATTTACCTTGATGTAACCATTGATCTATTTAAAAAAGACACTTGATTTATACTGTAGATTTAAACCTCCCTATGACCTCACCTGGACACGCAGATTTGAGGTTGATACCGATTTAAAAAGAGCAAGAGAAAAATAAAGTAGGATTTGGCACTGAACACAAACAAAGAGAGTTCTCCAGTGTTGTAGCTTCAGTAGAGGGGTTGTCTTTGTTCCCTGTGCAATATGCAGTATGACAACAGACATTCAAAAGCTTTTTACAAACCTTAATAGAAAAAATAAGCATCCGTTAGAGCCTAGTTCATGTATGTCTACATTTTTTAAAGTGCATGAGTGATTTCATTTATGCAGGTTATCTGAGGAAATATAACAATTTGTGAGCCAAATCTGCAGCCAACAAAAGCTAATTGGGTGTTTACGATGTCACCTATAAACACCACATGTGGTTGATTTTGTGAACTTGCTATCCCTTTATTCTCGTCTTCAAAATATGGTGGCTTCCTTTGTTGCTGGTGTGTGAAGGAGGAGGAAGATGGAGTGACTGGATTGAGTCAATCATCAATGAAGAGCAGCAGGCAGTCGCCGACATTTTTCCAATTGTGAAATGCATGAAGAGGTTTTTAGGTGCGTATGCATGGGTACATGGTACTTCGACAAAAACCAGTAAAACCAATTAGCATACACAGAGTTAGATTAACTCAGCAATTGAAAGCAGCGACTATACACAATAAAAGAGAAATTTCTCATGAAGAATGTCAGAAGACTTAAGCAATTAGAATCTCAAAAGGTGGAAAAACAAGCCAAAAGTAATGTGCAATTCTTTCAAGACAAGAGCAAGCTGTTCCTAATAAGATCGGAATGTGAATTGATTAAATCAAACTCACGAAGAGTCAGGCAGCACAGCCAAGATGCATTATTTTACTTCAGCTCAAGTTAAATATATAAGATAAATATTGTGTTTATTGTAACCAATTTCAAGTGGTGCTACTTTCATTAAAAAAAGATCTTATTCTGTGTGATAACATTCAGCTAATGTGGTTGGAAGTTTGTGTATTTAATGCTGACACATTAAAATATAAGGTCATTAATTTAACCCATGTAAACAACCCATGCCATCGCATTCATAGGGTTCCAGTGAATGGTCCCGTGTGTAAGACTTAGGGCAGAAATGGACTACAATATATATTATGTTACCAATAGTGTATAATCACCTGACACTAAAGTGCGTGCTATTTAGTCGGTTGCAATCATAATCCTGCATACTGGACCTTTAAGATACAGATTACATTTCAAAACTGGATGGTAAATAGGCAGCATTTTTATATGAGCACAGCTTGACTCATATATCATTTATAAAACATAAGGTTAAGCACATGCAAGGTGTTTAATATGAAGGAGAAACTTAAAAGTCAGAAGCAGAAAATTAGCACAGTTGAATTTGAAAAGTAGATTAAAATAATTAAAATTGGAAACAGATGAAAGTGAGATGCAGACCTGGGCAAAGTGTTACTTGGAAATATGTATGGTCTTTTCTGAAAATGATTATTCACAGTCAGTTAAGTGTTTAATTTAAACCAACAACAATTTGTTTGAGGAATAAATGTTCATAAATACAGACTGTTTCGTTTTTTTATCTTTACATTTTTACTCCACTTATTTGGAAATGTAACATTTTTGCCCCAGGTTTGATCAGGTGGATCACCAAGGAGGGAAATCTGCTGGATGTTTTTACCTTGTTAGCTCTGGGTTTGGTCCCGGGTCCTCTGGAGAACAGCCGGCGAGGCTTCGGCATCTCAGTCGGAGGGTCGCCTGGTAGCGTTCCTCCATCTTGAGGAACGAGACCTCCAAAAGAAGAAACAGATCTAAGACACAATTCTGATTCGATTGTGGTGATGTTTGGTCCTAACTTCTCATAAAGCTTAAAAACAAAACCTAAGCTTCAGTTACCTTGCTTGTTATCAGAGGCTACAGCCGTCTTAACTGGCGATTTATCCGCCTTGTACTTTTCTTCTACTCCCTCCTCATCCTCAGATTCAGACTTCAGCAGGCTGCTGTAGGAGCGCGGCGTGATGTTACGTAGAGAATGTTTCCTGAGGCCAGGCGCCTTCGATGGCGATCCCTCGGCTGCGACTCTAGATTTCCAGCTCGTATCCTCACTGCCTGACACGGGGCGGAGGAAATGCCTTGCCCTGACTGAGAAAAGGGAGCCCCTTGATTCATTTTGAGCTAGATATTTTTGATATGTTGTTGAATATTTTCAAGAAAATTAATTACAGCAACACGTTTGAAAATGTACGGATACAATTATTGCAGGCTCTTTATTACATTTGAGAATTAGAGACATACGTTTCAATGGTTTGATGACGCGATCCATCCTCGCTTTCTCAATCCGATCACACTTCCTATATCTGAGGAAGAAGAAACAGTAAAAGGTAATTATATACATGATTAAAACTGAGTAAATGTAAGTGGTAGACGAATCATAAATAGATGAATCATAGATAGGTTTGCTTTTAACCTAAAGGGTAAACAGTATTGTAGGCACCATTAACTGCAATATATTAGAACTTGGTAAAACACTCTTTACTATAATAAAGAATATGTTTCATATTTGTCTTTATAGGTGACATCAGAGTTAGATAACTTTAATTCAGTATTCAAGCATTTCTTCAAGTATGCAAAACTTGAGATCACCATATTTGAATAGTTCATATATTTTGCTGCCATCTCTTGATACCCTTCTGTTCCAATGTCCATAAAAGATTTGCTAAAATGTCAACAGCCCTCTCTGTGAATGTAATAACCTGATTAGTCTAACTTACACGCAACACTGCCGCTTGGTGTTGGGCCCTCCGAACTTGGGCTTATCGAGGCAGTTGGTGCACTCTGTGCAGTCCTCCTCTATCAAACAGCCCTTGCAGCATCCACAGCGCCGGGAGCGGACTCCCCCAATGGCATATTGACCCTGGGCCTTCTTCTTCTTCTTCCTGAACATTTGGCCCCTCCCCCTCCCCCGGACCCTCCTCCTCCTCTGAATGTGATTCTGAGTGACAAACCACTGATCCCGGCCCGGATCAGGCATCTCATCGTCATCATCGGCCACATCTGCAAGCAAGAGACCGAGAGGATGGGTAAAAGAGCCACAATATACAGTTTGAATATTCAGTGCATGTGTGTAGGGGCGGCATCTTTTGATGCCAAATACTATTGAGTGTTGATGAGGCATTACAGGTCTAAATGCTGTGATTGAATGTGTTACAGTATATACACATTTTCTTTTGTTGTCTGGTTTCTAAAAGGCACTCATTGCTAAAGTGTTGGTATAAGAAAGAGTCACTTTAGAATAAAGTTAGGTGGCTGGTAAAGTCTCTGACAAATCCATTGTTCGTAGAAATCCTCCTACCTGACCTTTTGAGATTTGAAAACTACTAATTCCTTTGACAACCTCTGGCATCCCCCAGTGGTGTTAATGTCATCTGGCACAGAGCAACTTCAAAAGGAAAATACATTACATAATTTTAAGTGAATAATAAAGCTGGATTTACATTGTGGAAGGATATCTGTTTCCCATTAGCACTAGATGTGTTCTTCAGGAGACAAAGTGCAGGGCAGTGAGTCTACTTGTCAAACGGCACTTCCTCACCTCATACTGAGTGATGCTCACTCGACCAGTGTTGGGTAAAGCTTTCCAACAGCGGTGGCTAATCTGTGTGTGAGAAAAGATATTTTTGCTGGCAAATATCTTATTTACAACTACATTTAGCTAACAAAGCAGTTTTTTTAATTTTTGTGCTCAGCAGGTAACGTTTACCAAAAGCTAGAAATATTGTGCTCTTTTAAGAAATAATAGATTTGACGTTGTTGTTATAACTGCAGAAGCTTAAGTTTGAGAGAATATTTTAGCTGGTGAAGTTTTCAGTATAGTACTTTAGCAGATCAGCTTTGCCAAACGGAAACTGGCAGAAATGTATTTAGGTTTGGACAACGCTTATGAAGCAAATAGGAGAAATTGAATTGAAAAACAGTTGACCTACCTGAGAGCATGGCTATATACAGTCTCAAGTCAATCAATTTCTTTACAATCAATCTATGAATAAAGTGGAAATCACAATTATCCCACGGTCCTAGCAATAACTGTAGCAACAATTCATGCTGCACACTTTGGGTGACAGCAACACAAATTATTAATAAATGATGAAGCTTCATTAGAAAACCCTGATAGAAGCTTCAAATGTAAACAATAATTCAATTATGTTCAATTATAATTTACACACGGCATCTATTGCACGTCTGTCCGTCCTGGGAGAGGGATCCCTCCTCTGTTGCTCTCCCTGAGGTTTCTCCCATTTTTCCCTTTAAACTGTGGGTTTTCTCCGGAAGTTTTTCCTTGTACGATGTGAGGGTCTAAGGACAGAGGGTGTCGTATTGTCATACTGATATTCTGTACAAACTGTGAAGTCCGCTGAGACAAATGTAACATTTGTGATATTGGGCTATATAAATAATCATTGATTGATTGATGACATTGATGTTCAGCCAATCCAGTGCTCCGAGGAGCAATCCGGTTTCACAACGATCCTCCCTTCAATATAAAAGTGTGTAACAGCCAACAATCTGAAAGAAAAACCATCACTGCCAACAACAGGCAACTACAACTCCAATCATTTCAGACCTTCTTGTGCAGAATTAAAAAATATGAATGCTTTAAGACTTTTCATGTCCTGCAGTTACTAAAATGATTGATTCCCTTATTGCCTTTGTGTCTGGACAACTTCAACCAGTTCCTTAGCAGGGAAGATCAGTTAACCATCTATTAGCTGCTTTTATTCCTTCATGTGATCATCATCACCACAACAGCACCAAGTGAAAACATCAGTTCCTTGCTTGTTAAAATCCAAATCATTGCACATACATAGTGCAATGCAAAATGTACCATCTCTTTTAAAGACGAAGTGAAGATCATTTCTGAATTTTACCTAAAAACATGTGTTTGCATTGTACCTTCTGCTGCGGGAAAAAAGGTGATGCCCTCTCTCTCGTGGAGCGGCAGGGCGCTGAGTCGGGGGATATCGTCTGGCACCAAGGCGCGGGGCTGACCCAGAGCCACTGCTGCTGCCCGACACACATGTTTGATCCTCGGCCCACCTAGCGGCTGCTCCTGAACACAAACCAAGAAAAATGTAAAATGCAGAAATGTTTGTAAACAGATATTGGCAACACCTCACGATGAAATCTCATCTGACATTAAACTGACAGTAGGATACAGTTCCCATTGTGAAGTGCAAAGGTTAACAACACATTTAGCAACCCTTTCCTAATGTAAAATAAAATGTATAATATGTTAAAAGTTTATAGCACTGTATGATTAATTTGAAGCACTCACAAATATTCTGTAAAGGGGAACCTCACCAGCAAATCAGATATGACAATGACATGATGACATTAATATGTTTCATTTATTACCTCAGAACTTTTATCTTTGGGAGATAAGCCAACTCTCCTCCTCCTCCTTCTCGTCACTGGCACTCGTGATTCTCCTGAGCCCAACTGTCGGCCCAGCCGAGGAGGGGAAATCAAGGTTTCATGTTAGACATGCTGCAACATTTCCATTTCCAACATTCTCATTTTGAGAGCCTGAAAACCGCATCATTGACATATCATTTCAGCCTTAGGGATTTTAGTGGCTTTTGAACTGTCCATAGTGCAAAAAGTTAGGGAAGATTGATTGAAATGGGGACACATTAGGCTCAATTTCAGATTCATTCTTAAAATCAAAATGTATCTCTATTCAACCTGTCTGAAATTCCCTCCTGCAATAAAGGCCAGTGTACTCAGATACAAATTGGGTTAAAGTACTCAGATGAGGAGAAGTATATTCAAATGAGCCTGCATGCAACTCAAAAAGGGTATCCAAATCTGAAAGTTTTAAATCTTCCTTCCTACTTCTGCAAAGACTTGATCTTTGGTTCTTACCTGCGACATCTTCAGCTGCTTCTGCTGATCAATTTTGATGAGCTGGACTTTGGCTTTCTTCAGCAGGTGGAGCATGGTCTTATTAGCTCCACTGAGACCAATGCGATAGCTGGGACCGCTGACTTCCACCGCCTCATTGTTCTCTCCGGGAACGCCTCCCGCTTCATCTGTAGCTAAATACATTAATAAAGCAACTCTGGTTAGATTGTGCACAACCTGACACATCATCACTGCACACAAACTACTGAAAACACATAGCCTATGCATGGCTTCTATTTTCAGGCCTAGAGATTTGTTTCATTCTCAGGTACATTTTTTAACATATACATTGCACAAATGAGTGCTGTAATGTTTGAGCTTCTGTAAAAACAAGATCTCTCTAAATAATAACAAACAAATTCTTACTGTTGCTGCCTGTATCTCCTGACGCCGTACTTGAGGGGGCTGCCACATCAGCATTCACCAACACGGCTAGTTTCCTGACAACACCCGGCGCATCCATCTCCTCCATCATGAGCTTCGTCCGCCGCTTCTTCCTAACGTGAGAGGTCAACCCGTCGCCACTTTGTTGATAGCTCCCTTCAGTGTCTGAGTGGCCTTTCTTTTTCTCCGCCAGTTTCAAGGTCAGTTTCTTAAGGTTCTTGTAAATCTCGAGGTGGCTCGTGCCTGGCCTGGGCTTTGATGGAAACTTTGCAGACGGGCTGTCGGTCACAGATGTAGAGTCACAGTCTGACTGCAGCGAGTTGCCATCATAACTCGAGTCATGGTATGATGGACTTGGTTTTCCATCCTCTCTCTGTTGACTTTTCTGCCATGTTGCCAGAGAACCCTTCGGAAAGGGGATAATTGTCTCGTCCAGGAACCTCTTTGGAGTTTTGATGACGCGGGAGGACCGTCCACTCGTTACAGTAGTGGAGGTGTTGGGGTCACCCTCAGATGGGGCGATACTCTGACTCTGCAGCTGCTGCTGGTTCCCACCCGGAGTCAGTGGGGCTGGACTGGGCTCCGTTACATAGGTGTAAAAAACATGCGTAGTTCGAATACGACGAACATTCGGACGTCTAACTTCTGGCGAATCGTTTGGCTTTGGCTTTCGCTTGTGCCCATACAGAGATTTTTTGCGTTGCCTTTTGAGTATTCTTTTTTCAGGGGAATCTGTGGCTTTACACTTGAGTGGCATTGCTGCTTTGTCTCCACTCTGGGCCTCAGCTCCGGCCTCTGGAGAGGCACCCATACCCTTAGCCATTCTCTTCCTCTGCCGTTTCTGAAAGGATGTGAACGACAGAGCTGCTGCTTGGGAGGTGCGTCTGGTGTGCCCAATCATGCGTTTCACAGATCTCTGTGGCTGAGATTGGTCCGTGTCTGAATCCTCAGACACCTCGCCTGGTTCTTTGACCTTGGAAGCTTGCCTGGTGCCACCAGCTGAGGTAGCGGCTGTTTGGTTTCGCATGTTGCGCGAGTATGCTGATTTTCCTGCTCTCCTAATAAAGTCTGCTGCTCTTGTACTGCTCTGTATATCTGAGGCCTGCGCGCCTGCATGTTTGGCTGCTACAGTAGGAGCTACCTGCTTGCCGTGCAGTTTAATCAGCACCTTGGGTATATCTTGGTCTTTAGATCGGCTCTTTATGAAACCATGGTCTTCTTTAGGAATTCTGGACACAATTTTTCCAATAAGAGACGATTTTGGACTCTTAGGTATAATCTTTCCTAATAGAGGCTTTATTTCCAGAGAGCGGTCTGAAGCTGGGGGAAGCTTTGCTCGGCTGAGTAAAGACGACCTAGGAGCTTTCTGTGGACTAGCTGTGGTGGTCCCAAATCCAGTGAAAACGTCCTCCTGAAGAAGAAAGAAAGTACAACCATTAAATTGACATAATACATTTAGACATGTTGAAAATAAAATAGGTTTGCTTCAGACAACTTGTTTGGCGTTAGACTGACCTACACAACATCAGTGTGACAAATAAAACTAAATTTAAGGGCCAACTTTTAACCAAAATGTCAAGAAAATCTTAACATTTGAACATTTTCCAGGTCACTTGTAATTATTGCGGTTTTCATTGTGAAAGTAAACCAGATTACATGCATATGTATCACTCCCCAACAATATAAATGAAATATATGATTAGTTTTTGAAAATACTCTTTGCTAGATCAAATTTAACATTGGAAGTGTCCATCGTTTGTGATAAAAATGTAATTTATGTTAAAAAAAAACACTAATTAAAAACTAGGTTTACATTTTGCTCATGCTTTTCTAGGACAAATATAAATGAAACATTTTTTCATTAATGTTTATTATTTTTAATCTGTCATATAATAATCAAAGCCCTGAAGGAAATAAAGCAATTTAACAGCAATTGAAACACAAGAACCACTCAGCCAAAAGTATTTGGCTGTGAAATATAAAGAGATGATGAGACATCCATATAAATGACAGAACAGATATAAACACAAAACAAATACAAACAATTAACAGTCACTATTCATAAAATACAGTATATCCGAAAAATATATTGATGAAGTGACGCTGCAGAACATCATGTGAGTCAATGGGCAAGTCCGTTTAGGAAACACATGATGTACAGAACTTCTTCGTGTGTATAGCACAGATGTACTTGTTGCAGTTGCTGCATGTAGTCTGTGTCTTGGAGTCCTTTGAGGGTCCACAGAGCTGGCTGTGGGGGTCTTCTTGCGGCTGGCTGTGGGGGTTCTTCAGCGGCTGGCTGTGGGGGTCTTCCAGCAGCTGGCTCTCAGTCAAGTTCATCTTCCAATTCGCTGTCAAATTCTGAGTTTACCTCCACATTATCCTCATCTTCAGAAATGTCTTCCTGTCCCACTTCACCGTGTTCCTCTAATGCATTCCACTCACTCTCATCCATTATTAGCTCCAAGGCTCTGAGCAGAATATCTTTTGGCCATTTTGCTGGTAGATAATTGTAGTTCTGCACTATACACTGTAATGTGAGGTTATGTCTCTGTTTAGTTCCTCCTCCGGCGTGCAGGTGCGAGGGGGGACAGTGCGAGAAAATTTAAAATGTTTATACATTTCTGGAAGATCTAAAATGTTTATAATGTTCTAGGATAGTTTTGTGTACACACTACAAAGGGTAAAGATCAAGGGATCACTGCTATAATCACACTCTCGACCTTGTTCTGACGTATGGTATTGAAATTGAGCAACTATTAGTCGAACCGCATAATCCTGCTTTATCCGACCATTTCTTAGTAACTTTTGAAGTACTGTTACTAGTAGACTACAAAGCATTAGTCAAAAGCTCCTGCAGCAGAAACCTATCTGTTAGTGCTATAGCCAAATTTAAGGAAGAGATTCCACCAATACTTAACTCGATAGCATGTCTGCATGTAAGGGAGGAAACTTATACAAAATGTACACCACCCCAAATTGATCATGTTGTTGATAGTGCTACAGATGCGCTGCGAATAAAATTAGACTCTGTTGCTCCTTTGAAAAAGAAGAAAATAAAACAACAGATTAGCTCCATGGCATAATGCCGAAACCCGCAAAATAAAGCAAAAGTCGAGACAACTTGAAAGGATATGGCGTTCCACTAAACTTGAAGAATCTCGTTTAATTTGGCATATTACTCTCAATGAATATAAGAAAGCACTGCGTAAAGCGAGAGCAGCCTACTACTCTTCATTAATAGATGAGAATAAGAATAATGCAAGATTTCTTTTCAGCACTGTAGCCAGGCTGACAGAAAGCCACAGCTCGATTGAGCCTTCTATTCCCATAGCACTCAGTAGTAATGATTTTATGTGCTTTCTTAACGATAAAATTGTTACTCTTAGAAACAAAATTAATGACCTCTTGCCTTTGACCAGTATAGTGTTATCAACAGCTCCCGGAAACGTAAGTTCTAATATTACACTAGATAGTAAACTAGAATGCTTTTCAGCCATAAACCTTGAACAATTAAATTCAATGATTCTCTCTTCTACACCATCAACGTGTATGTTAGACCCAATTCCAACTAAGCTGTTGAAGGAAGTTTGTCCATTAATTAGCACTTATTTATTAAATATTATGAATATGTCTTTATTATCAGGCTATGTTCCACAATCATTCAAAGTAGCAGTGATAAAACCGCTTCTTAAAAAGCACAACCTCGATCCAGAGGTTTTAGCCAATTATAGACCTATTTCCAATCTTCCGTTCCTCTCAAAAATTCTTGAGAAAGCGGTCGCAAAACAGTTGTGTGATTACTTAAAAAAACAATGATTTATTTGAAGATTTTCAGTCTGGCTTTAGAACACATCATAGCACAGAGACAGCTCTGGTTAAAGTCACAAATGACATTCTAATAGCCTCTGACAAGGGATGTGTCTCTATTCTTGTTTTGCTCGATCTCAGTGCTGCATTTGATACTATCGACCATGATATCTTATTGCAAAGACTAGAGCACTTAGTTGGCATACAGGGAACTGCTTTAGACTGGTTTAGGTCCTATCTATCTGAACGCTCTCAGTTTGTACGTGTCAACGATAAATCTTCCACAAAAACCAAAGTTAGCCATGGAGTGCCACAGGGCTCAGTGCTCGGACCTATTTTGTTCACATTATATATGCTTCCGTTAGGCAATATTATAAGGAATCATTCTGTAAACTTTCATTGTTATGCGGATGATACTCAACTATATTTATCAATCAAGCCTGATGAAATTAATCATCTAAATAAAATTCAAGATGGATGACCTTAAACTTTTTGATGTTAAACACGACCAAAACTGAAGTTATTGTACTTGGCCCGAAGAATCTACGAAACAAATTATCTAAGGATATACTAACTATGGATGGCATTAATTTGGCCTCCAGTGAGACTGTAAAGAATCTTGGTGTTATATTTGATCAGGATTTATCCTTTAACGCCCACATAAAATCAATTTCAAGGACCGCCTACTTCCATCTACGTAACATTGCAAAAATCAGGCATATCTTGCCTCAAAACGATGCAGAGAAACTAGTCCATGCATTTGTTACTTCAAGGCTGGATTATTGTAACTCTTTATTATCAGGGTGTACCAAGAAGTCAGTCAAGTCGCTTCAGCTGATTCAAAATGCTGCAGCTCGTGTACTAACCAGAGTTAGGAAAAGGGACCACATTACTCCTGTTCTGGCTGCCTTACACTGGCTCCCTATAGAACACAGGATAGAATTTAAAATTCTTCTTCTCGCCTACAAAGCCCTTAATGGGCAGGCGCCATCTTACCTCAAAGAACTCATTATACCCTACTGTCCTACTAGGGCATTGCGTTCCAAGAATGCAGGGTTGTTGGTTGTTCCTAGAGTCTCTAAAAGTACAATGGGAGCCAGAGCCTTTTCTTATCAAGCTCCACATTTGTGGAATCAGCTTCCAGTTTGTGTTCGGGCGGCAGACACCCTATCCGTTTTTAAGAGTGCGCTTAAGACCTTCCTTTTTGATAAAGCTTATAGTTAGGGCTGATTAGATTCAGCCCCTAGTTTTGCTGATATAGGCTTAGTTTGTCGGGGGACATCTTACTTCTTCCTTCTCTCTGTCTATACCTGTGTACTCTCATGTTCCGATTAACCCAGCTTCCCCAAATGTCTTTCTTTTTGATGTCTATAGACGCCGGGATCCGGAGTCATGGATGATCCTGCGCTCCTCTGTCCTGGATCGTGAGCCCTGGATCTTGAGTCGTGGCTGTGGTCCTGGATCATAGGTCCTGGATGGATATCCTCGTGGATTCATCTTCCTATTATACACACATGCATTTCCAAACATTTGGACTACCTATGTTGCAAATGTATTATCTTTTCAATTTACACACGGCATCTATTGCACGTCTGTCCGTCCTGGGAGAGGGATCCCTCCTCTGTTGCTCTCCCTGAGGTTTCTCCCATTTTTCCCTTTAAACTGTGGGGTTTCTTTGGAAGTTTTTCCTTGTACGATGTGAGGGTCTAAGGACAGAGGGTGTCATATTGTCATACTGATATTTTGTACAAACTGTAAAGTCCACTGAGACAAATGTAACATTTGTGATATTGGGCTATATAAATAAACATTGATTGATTGAAGGGAAAACAGGTTCAAACAGCTTCGCTATATATATATATATATGTGTGTGTGTGTGTGTGTTTTTCTCTGACTGGCTGTCCTGGTATTGTATCCGGGTCAGATCTGACCCAAACCTCTTATGAAGGACATAAATGCGGGTGGGCATTTTTTCACAAGTGGAAAAAGATAAAAAACAATTCCACATGTCCTTCACAATAAATAAGCCCCGGCCATTGAGTTTCAAGTAAAACGAAAATATCCTTATATTTTTTTGTATTCATTGAAAATGGAAATCGGGTCAATTTGACCCGAACACCACACAAGGGTTAAGAAATAACTCAGCCGATTCTCTGCATGTGCATGATTGATAATGGTAGTTATACACAGTGTTACACTCAAGCTACATTCGAATAAAAAGCAGGCTTTTCTAACCATTTCTCCCCTAAAAGAGATTTTGATCAAGCAGAATACTGGGTAATACACAATCATCTATATCCCCACAAATATTTAAGTAGATCGTTGGAACAGTCAGCGTGCAGCAACCTTCACATTCACGCCTCTACCTGAGATGCAAAGATTAGATACTACAGCAGATCAAAATCATGCTTTGACCCGATTCCATATCACTCACATCCATCTTCCTGTGCAATATAATAACATCTCCATAGATCTGTCAGATATGAAATCTTCCCACTGATATATATTCCAAACCCCTGAGGAGCACATGAGTGTGGGGCACTAGGTGACGTGTGGTTCTCCAGTTGAACAGCACCCACAAGCTTAAGCACGGGCCATGTGACTGTTACAGTCCACTCTAAAGGGATTGCATCAGTGAAGTCCGACTGATGTCAGACACTAAAGCCCCTGCTCTGGATTAAATAATATGATTAGATACAAATTTGGCATGATACCATAATCAACCCGGATCCTGTCTGGACGGAGCTACAAGGAGACCACCCTTGATGTGAATGACATTTAAGACACTTGCTTCTGTAAACAAACACAGATAATATAAATACTGGGTGTATTCCTCTTTTGTTTGTCGTAAAATATTGAGTTTCATTATGAATGAATCCAGGTCTTACTAAGGATCCATTGTATACAACAAACACTTTTTATTGGGTGATAATGGTAAATGTACATGTGTTTGTATTATTTAGTGGGTGGCGGCAAGCACCTGTAACATTTGTTTTGTGATCCGCCATTACACGCAGAACAACAAGAGCAGCACACCGACAAGAAAGCTGAATGTGTTGTCAAAGGTGGGGACGTTTTTCACCGTTCCACAAATAACTACAACAAAAATATTCACATGAAAAAGAAATAGATTCCTGACAGGAATTGCTTTTGCATTTGTTATCTAAATAAGGCCAGAGTGCATAAAAAGCATTAAAAGACTGATTAAGCTTGTTTATTTATAAAGTGAGCCTAAACCCTGAATGTCCACAAAGCCTAAATATGATTAATAATCAAATGGAAAAACTAAATAAATCTCTCCCAACACGATTTCTACCTCAGTGCTACTGACCCCTCTCATCCATGTCAATCAGCCAGACTTGATTTTAGCAGATGGCACTTTGCATTAACTCCTCATTTGTGACAAAGCCTGTGCAAGCAACATGATTTCTTGTAGCTTGCAGACCATCAACTAAAACTCCTGCTATTTTAAATAAAGTGATCTTATAAAGAGAAGAAGTTTGATTATTCTTTAACTTTACCTCAAAAAAACATCAATTATCAAAAGGGAGAGTCATGATGGGCTTGATAAATGTTTATAAACAAAGGGCTGTGCAGAATTAAGTTTAAGAAAGGTTTAAGATTGTTTAGTGTGGTCCAATGTTTTTTAATGATTAAAATCTAGGTGATTTTTCTTTTTGCGTCCCCTTTGCATCACTTTCAAAACACCGAGCAGTCAGCTGACAGCTACAACGTGGAGAGTGTGAACCCAGATCAAGCAGCTGCAACGTTAAATACGACAAGATAAGCCGCCTGTGTATGTCAGCACAGAGTGGGAAATTCAACTCAACAAAGCGCGTCAGGGGATGAATACAAAGACATTTAGTGGTTTCAACAACAACACTCATTCACGATTGTCATCATACCGCCAAAGTTTCCGCCTAATGCTCTTATCATGCAAACAAACTCAGCTGGACTGACGCTGGTATCTGTGTATGTATGGCTGTTGCAACTTACAGCAATGATATCACAATTTATTTATGTCAAAAGACATAATTCATATTTTGTACAATATAATTATAATATACTCAACCAATCTTAAGCATACCCTGCAGGCAGACGGCTAGCATAATGCCTATTTTGGGTTACTGTTTGCTATCCAAGATACGGCTAACTAGCTCTACGTTAGCCTAAATACTTTTTGTAAGTAACAAATAATTTAATTCTAATATCGTTATTTGAACAAACTGGCTTTATGCGCCCCGTTAAACCCTTTGTTACACATCTAGCTGACGGGCTACAGTTAGCTTATTCACCTCCTCTTCACTGGACATGAAGCCCGCATCTCGCTGCCTGCTGTGCTTCTCCCACAACCCGAGCAGGCGCAGCAGGGCCGGGTCCTCGCTCAACGCCAGGCCGATGTTTACGGGCCTCGGCCCTTCGGAAGCCAGATCCCCGTCGTCCGAGCCCAACCTTCCGCATTTGATACGTTTCTCCGAGCGCAGCCTGCTGCGAACCGTGCACGGCCGACCCGGGAAGCGAGCCCGAGCCGGCGCTTGGATGCTCAAGCCCGCCACGGTAGCGGGAGGGGATAATCCGCCTCCCGATGCCGCCATTATTTACTACAACAACACGGAGCAGGCAGCGGCTGACAGCAGCAATCTGAGGATCTGAGAGGCAAGATGGTCTGCGCGAGCAAAGGCGCGAGATAGAAAGGAAACACAGGTGCATCATGGGAAAACGAACTTCGCCGGCCCAGAGCGACCCCTGCTCGACACACTGCGAGACTTCGCTTGTGCAGATCAGTTTTTATTTAATTAAGGGTATTTATGGGCTTAGATTTGTCTCATAAATATTTGTGTGAACATACAAATAATTTGTGTGTAAATATGTGATTTGTAAATGAAAAACACTATCCACAAATGCATTTAAAAGATTTGCAAACTCACAAATAAATGTGCAAATGTAAAACGGACCTGCAAATGCGCAAAAATATGTTCACAAATAAAAAAAAGATCTGTGAATACTATAATTAATTTACAAATAAACAAAAGGAATTTGTGAATATCTCTTTAACATCGACAACTTTCGATCAGGCAATTGTGAATCTATTTAGTATTTGTCAACCAAAAATGCGCTTGTGGATCTCAAATCTCTGCTTGTGGGTCGTCTTTGTACACACACAGAAGGCTTCTCAATTCTCTAATTTCCCCTCCTCGACTCCTCGGTCCTCCGGTAGTGACCCGGAAATGGATTTCAGCGTGCCATGTTGAAGGACATCTAATTTCTCTAAATGCACATCGAGGACCGAGCATCGAGCATCGAGGAGGCTCTCTGGAGGATATAATCGAGGATACACTGGGGGTGTTTCTCAATGTCGAGGAAGGCTGCTCCAGAGCCACTATTTCCATAGAAGCCTGCCTGCATGCGCCAGTCTCAGGATACCTCCACCCTGAGGACACCTCCACTCTCAGGACAGGAAGTGCATGCACGCTAAGAATTACAAAATAAAATCGCCACTATCAGTATAGCGCCACTTTCCGAACAGGAAATGCCCGCAAATACAAAATAAAATCGTACTGACACTTATTATATACATATGTATAAATATGGTGGCCCTGAAGTGCAAGACACCACAGCATTTCACAAAACACTACATAATTTCACAAAACACAACAGCATTTCACAAAACACTACAGCATTTCACAAAACACTACAGCATTTCACAAAACACTACAGCATTTCAGAAAACACTACAGCATTTCAGAAAACACTACAGCATTTCAGAAAACACTACAGCATTTCAGAAAACGCCGCAGCATTTCATGGTGTTTTGTGAAATGCTGTTGTGTTTGTGAAATGCTGTTGTGTTTCTGAAATGTTGTTGTGGTTCTGAAATGCTGTTGTGGTTATGAAATGCTGTTGTGGTTATGAAATGCTGTTGTGTTTTCTGAAATGCTGTTGTGTTTTCTGAAATGCTGTTGTGGTTCTGAAATGCTGTTGTGTTTCTGAAATGCTGTTGTGGTTCTGAAATGCTGTTGTGTTTCTGAAATGCTGTTGTGTTTCTGAAATGCTGTTGTGTTTCTGAAATGCTGTTGTGTTTCTGAAATGCTGTTGTGTTTCTGAAATGCTGTTGTGGTTCTGAAATGCTGTTGTGTTTCTGAAATGCTGTTGTGTTTCTGAAATGCTGTTGTGTTTCTGAAATGCTGTTGTGTTTCTGAAATGCTGTTGTGTTTCTGAAATGCTGTTGTGTTTGTGAAATGCTGTGGTGTCTTGCACTTCACTTGCATGCTCCAAATGGCCCAAAACTTCACAGGTTTGGTAACGATGCAGCCATCAACGCATCTAAGCGTATTATGGGATGTCATCAAATGCCGTTGGCATGGCGACAGATCATTCGCCATCAAGTTTGTTCAAAAGTTTGCAGTTCAAATATTCTGCTGCTTTTCCAAGCCTTTTTAGTTTATTTTATTTTCTCATCACACATTCAAGCCCCCAGTGTTCATGTATCATTTCAATCTAAATGATTCACTTTCTTCTTACACATTACATTTCAGCATAGCAGTTTAGCGTCAGCTTTTCAGCATAAAGCATTCCCACTATCAATTTCTTCAGGAATTGCATTCTCTAGTTGATCTTGTTATCCCCCTGGTGAATTTGGTGCAGGTTGGAGCTGTCCAATAGTCCTCTTGCTGGAGAACGCAGGTGTCTCCATAAAGACTCAGCTTCCGCAGGTTTCTGGAGAAAGATAAAAAGCCAATGTTAGAAATTTAGGAAAAAAAGGTTTTAATAATAGATGCACATATGCTTATATCATGGCAACATGTTGATGTTTAGAGCGACTTGCTCTCCTTTTAGCTGACAGACTGGTAACCAATCAGACCGTGTAAGCAATAATACATTACAAACAGATGGGTTGATTTAACTCAGTATTATGCCTTATACATCAACAGGTAAGCAAGTGATATTCTTACCAAATAACAGTGTGCAGTGATAGTCATTACTGAGACCCCTGAACTAAAGAAAAACAATGATACTCAAAAGAGACTCAAAGTATAAGCTACTATGTTGTAGCTGTGGGAAGCGAACACTTTAAAATTCACCCACTTTCACCGAACGCGTGCACGCATGCGCGCGTCACGAGTGCGCTCCAGTTGGCTTTCAAACACAAAGCAACACACCTAAGTATTCACATTATTTACTTAACCATGGACAACATTTCTGTTCTACTTTGGCTACGATAATACACTGGACTGGACATACACACCTTTTTACTTTTGCCTGTTTTTTGTTGAATTGCATCTCTCTATGGTTGCTCCGGCTATGTATTTTGTGTTATTTTGCCCTACAAATCGTTTTATAGTTGTGTTTGTATTTGTGGTAATTATTTGAGTGTTTTTGGTGAACTCGCAACTCAGTCCGGTGATCACAGTGTCTTTCAATTATACTTTTGATGTTGGAATCAAACTTTGAAGAATATGATGTTGCATATTTTGTACCCACCTATAGTTTGACTTATATGAAAGAACAACCATAAAGTCCTGAGTGCAAAAACAAATGAGTGTTAAGTGCAAAATGTTATTAAATACAAATTAAGCAGAATGTCGCCAAACTGCTCGTGCTGTGGTACAAAATATGACTGTTTTCTGAACGCTTCCAACATTTTTAGCTCACTTTCAACTGTCTCTCGACTCAGTCCACCACTGGCTGGCTGCATAGGTAAAGTCTTAAAAGATTGCACGTACTCAGGGGCGCCGCCAGGGATTTTGGCCCCATGAAAAGATATCACATGGGTTACTTAAAAATGTTTTTCTTAATGTTCTAAAATTGTTTGGGCCCCTGTCAGTCACGGGCCCTTAGAATCGTCCTAACTTTTCACCCCCTTACGGCGTCCCTGCACGTACTATACTTTAAATGTTGCCTTTTATTGTCCCTCTCTCTCGCTCATACATACACACACACACACACACACACACACACAGAAACAGTGACCAAACAGAAACAAAACTATTGTATAATGCAACAATTATTTACTTTTGGAAAGAGAAAAGACTTGCAGATTACATTATTGAAGTCCCTTAGTACAGAAATGTATACAGTGCCCATTTATCGGATTGTGTGATGTTTAGGATTTACATTCTCTGTGTAATTGTCACCTTTATGTGAACATACTGAAAATAGTCAATTTAAATAAAAAAACATTCCAAACTTGAGGGAAAATGTACTAGTTGGTCTACATGAATACAAAAAAAACATTTCAGTTACAATAGACAGCAAAAGGAGCCTTGTTACACAAGCTTGTATTGGACATAAATCATATGTATAGATCAGAGGAGCATTTTACTCACAAGTGCAGGATGTTTTTCTAAAAGCACTTGAAAAACAGCATTGCAGAAACAATCTCCATAAATGATGTGTTGCATAACTGCTTCAAAAACTCTCACCCTTAAACATTAACATACAAATGTTCTACTAAATAGGATGCAGTACACCCTGAATGATGTTGTTTGCCAAATAATATCTTTGTTCTGCTGCCTCCTCTCCTTCAGTGTGGGTGTCCTGGTGGGTCGTCAGGGTGCTCTCTTGTGCAAAGCTCTCTCCACAGGTGGGGCAGGTGTACCCAGGGTGGTGATCCCTGGCCATGTGAGCTTTTAGCTGCTCGGGCCAAGCGTAGCTCTCTTCACACTCTGAGCATGTGTGAGCATTACCAGAGGGAGGCCCATGTGCTTCACTTTTGTGCGCCCGCAGGGCTGCAACAGAAGGGAAAATTAGGTCACAATTTGCCTCGGAACAAGGAATCTTGAGCCCCGGTTGCAGCGTAGAGGGGCAATCCTCTGTTGAAGAGTCATTGTCTTCTTTGCATTCCCCTGCTTCCTCTTCTTGTTTGATCTTCTTGCTCTCAACCATCTCTCCTTGAGTAGCGTTCTTGGGTTTTCGACCACGTTTTTTGGCTTGCGGCTTCACGTCACAATTGATATCATTGGCAAATCTCTCTTGATGCTCCAGGAGCTCTTCCTCTGTCAGGAAACCACTACTACATTTGCAGCATTGATAGGTGTGGATTTCATCAGCCACCGTGGGGTTCTGAGGGTGCACTGCCAGGCGATGGTTGCGAAGGCGTGAAGGGCTGGGGAACAAGGCGCCACAGTCTCGGCAGGGACAGCGTCGTTCGATGCAGTCATGTCGTCTGTGTTTGTTCAGCTGTAACACATTAACCATTCGTCATACACAATCAACAACTATTTTATCAGTTCCCAAGCACAAGAAAATTGGTTAACATGTGGCCAGCTGCATCCTCACCTCAGTGAAGGTAAAGAAGTTCTTCTGGCAGTATGCACAAAGGAAGGGTTTCTCCTCTGTGCTGTGGGTGGCCTGGTGTTGGCTGAGCTCCTCAGAGAAGGGGAAGCTCTTGTCACACTTATAGCAAGTAAAGACTGTATCGGTCTGCAAAATGATGAGAAGAAAATGTGTTACAAAGGTGTAATCAATCACAAATCAAAGCTTGATTCAGCAGTTTTATAAAAAATTTAAAAAAAATGGGCTAATCATGTGCCAGGGGGTAAGATCATGTCTCATAGTAATTTGTTGTATAAGGAATAGTATTCAAAATAATATAATATAACACTGCAGCAATGTTAGCTTTTGATATGCTATCATTCCTTTCATTCCTCCATCATTACAACTATTTCTTGTTTTCTTTAATCATTTTTCAAAAAGCCAGTATAAAAGAGTGTTCAAAGAACATCATGAAGTCATATATCAGTGCAAAGCTTAGACTGTAATAAATCCAGCAGTAATGTAACTGTGGACATGATTTGAACTTTGACCTCTGACGCTGCAAAAGAAGCACATGTGCTGCACATATTATTATCATTTATTAATTGTATAATTGTGTGCAAATGTTCAGAATGTTGCATTGGAAAGTTGCATTTTCAGTTGTTCTCATATTCAACGGAAGAGAAGATAATGGACATGTTTCTCAGTCTTTTCCCTACCTGCTGCAGGTGCTGCTTGTACTGGTCCCGATGACTCTTCCTCATGTGTCTCTCCTTTGCTTTGGAATTAGTGAAGGTGATGAAGCACTGAAAACACTGTAGACTCTCATGCTGATCTGTATCCCAACGAAATGAATTAGGTTAACAGGCAGCCTCTCATCGAGTATGAACTGTGCAATTAAATGTTATCTTACAGGACTGCAAAGGGGCGACCACGGGATCAGACTTGATCTCCGCTGAGGTGGATCTATTGTCACTCCCAACAGCGACTTGCTCTATCTTCAACATTGCCATGCTTCTTTCAGACACAACTCTGTCAGATGTAGCTGTAACATAGGAACACACAGCAGAGGTTTACACAACAAACATGCATTCTTCATGTAACATAACAGCAAACGACTGCAGTGAGGCTAGCGTGGAGATAACCCGCGTTGAGGTATCATCGGAATGCTTCACATTGTTATTTAATTACTGGAGAGTGGGAACATTTCTACATTTGAAATATGTTGTAAAATAGTTACAAATCTAATGAGGAGCTGCTTTTTCGTGGTATACAATAAAGACGAAACAAATAGCTAACAGTGGCTATTGACAGGAGGACAGAGGCAGGGTTACTGATACCACTGAAAACGAGACGGTTGTGCTAATATATTTTCAATAGTGCCGCCATGTGCATACTTTCGCGTGTAAATTACCATTTGAAAGCTGCAGAACTATGATAAATTGTGTATAATTTTGAAATAAGTCTTTGTAAACAATTCAAAAAGGCATCCATTTCTTACCGCAAGATACATCCACCAAGATGAAGCAGCAGTGAGTGTTTTGCCCCAGTCACGTGAGGTGGATATGGCTGCCGAGCTCGGAGCTATCGCGAGATTTTCAAATTGTAGTTTTATGCTTGTGGAGTGTCTTTTAATCGAGTTACAGTATTTTATACATTAAGATCAGATAAGAAGTACTTTATTGATCCCAATTTGGGAAATTGTTGTGTTGCAGCAGCATAAAAAGACATGGCATTGTACAATACAAATTAAAAGACTAGAAATAAACAAGAAAGTAGAAAATATACATGTTGAATTACAAAATGTACAGTAATATAAAGCAAGTTATTATATATAGGCTACATGTATGTGAGGCATGGAATATTAAATATTAAATTGAACATGTACAGTGTGATGTTAAGTCCAAGAGAAATATGGAGCAGAGAGTTTTCTGCCAGCCAGAGGTGATTTGTTATATCGAGTTATTGCAGTGGGCAGGAATGTTTTCCTGTATCGGTCCTTTTGACAGCGGAGCTGCAGCAGTCTGTTGGAGAAGGAGCTCCTGTCTGTCCAGCTGCAGGTGGAGAGGATGGGTGGGGTTATCTATGATGGACAACAGCCTGTTCAGTGTCCACCACAGCTTCAAAGGGGTCCAGCTTGATGCCGATGACAGACCCAGCTTTCCTGATCAGTTTATTGATTCTGCTGGTGTCACCAGCTCTGAGGCTGCCCCCCCCCCCCCCAGCAGACCGCAGCAAAGAAGAGTGCACTGGCAACAACAGACTGGTAGAAGATCTCGAACATCTTGCTGCACACGTTGAAGGATCTCAGCTTCCTCAGAAAATAGTCTGCTCATCCCCTTCTTGTACACAGCGTCAGTGTTGATCCTCCAGTTCAGTCCTCCGTCTAAGTGCACCCCCAGGTACTTGAAATTCTCCACAACAGCCACATCCTCTTCCAGAATGCACAGGGGCAGTGGAGACGTCCTCTTCCTCCTGAAGTCAATGACCATCTCTCTGGTCTTGGCCACATTCAGAAGCAGATGATTTATTCCAGTCCACTCCACAAAATCACCCACCAGCGCTCTGTACTCCTCCTCCCGTCCATCCCTTATACACCCTACCCCTTATACACCCTACCACTGCAGAGTCATCTGAAAACGTCTGCAGATGGCATGACTCAGAGTTGTATTGAAAGTCTGTGGTGTATCAGGTGAACAGGAAAAGAGAGGATTACTGTTTTTCAGGACGCATACATTGTCTTCAATTCTACTTAAATTCAGACATTCAGTTGTATTTAATAGTAAAAAGAGACCCAGAAAAACACTTAATCTCTACACATAGGTCCATGTCAGTATCTTCCTTCTTTCATTCCATCTAATTTTCGTTTTTAAAATGGTCATCACTTTAAAAAAAACAAGCAAAAAAAGTTTCAAGACATGTTTATAAGTGTTTACCACTGGTTGTGTTGAACATCTGTTAATACATATTAAGTGTGTGCTGTTCTGTTCATTTGTAAACATTGAAAACAAGCAAAAAGGGAGCTAGGGAGTAAAAAAACATTTATATTACAACTCTGGTGTTTCAGTTTTTGGTGGGAATAATTATAAACAAAACTGTTTTCTGAAATTACTTGAGTGAAGCAGGTTTCTAATTTCCACAATATTATAAAAGTAAAAAATAATTTTAATAGCCTAAAAATTACAAAGACACAACAAAGTCTAGTTTAAGGTTCATAGAATTTTATTGGTATTTTCACCACACAAGGCAGACACATCAATGCAAAATGTGATGATGAGGTGATAAGACGGCACATTATCGCTTTAAATAGTTTGTGAATTACAGAAGCACAGGGTTAAGGGCAAAATAGGCAGAAGAATGAGTTCAAGGAGTTATAGGAGCCATTTAAGCTCTGGCCTGCTGCTGCTGCTGCTGCTGCTGCTGGTGTTCAGCAATTCGGCTTTCCATCACAGGCCTGAAGTGCCTGATCAATCCCTGAGAACAAGGTAAAGAGCAACAAAGGAAGATAGTAAATGAATAAAGAAGAACAGCTCTACAACAAACACGTCAGAGTTTATTTACAAAAAACTGTGCGAGTCTTAATTCCTAAGTGTTAAAAGTTTAATGTTCAGCTTAAAAATAAAAGACACATGACAGAGGCACTCCTGTTTACATATATATTGACATATTCAGTTTTTGTTAATTCAATAGTAATTTTGTCTGCTGCCAATAGGGATGATTTTCAATGTAATACAATTCAATTTAATAACACCAAATACTGCAGCCTGCAAAAGGTCAACCTATTAATGTCCCAAGAGTCCCCCATTGAATCCATCAATGATCGTCTTAGCATGCCAATGCATTATGACAGTAAATGTGTTTACCTGCACTGGCCAAGCCGCACCATCTCCCAGGGCACAGATAGTGTGTCCCTCAATCTGCTTACTGAGCTCCCAAATCATGTCGATCTCTGCTGGCCGTGCATTACCACTCACAAAACGCCACATCATGTTATTCATCCAGTCCACTCCTATAGATACACACGAAAGAGACATTTAGAAGTTTGTTGATGGTATTAAAAGACATTGGTGACAACTAATGTGTGTCATTTCAAAGTGGTAGTTCAGATTTTCTTAATAAGGGTTGTTGTGAATGGAAGTGTGCATGGCCTCAGTTTGGAGAAACAGACGGGATTATGGGCACAGAAGCTAATCAATGTACTGTACTTCTGTGGAAAGGTAGTAGTTAAATGTATTTTAACCACCTAAAAACATTTTTATTTATTTATTCATAGATCACAGAAGTTACTGTGCTACCACTGCCTCAATCTGTTAGTTTGTTTGTGTTACTCTATGACGATAGCGATTCAAGTGCTAGATCAGATCCATCATAGGCACAAAATAACACCAACAAATCAGATAGACGCAGTGGAAGTTCAGAACATCCTGTTTTCTGCAATGGAAAGTTAGTTTAAAAAAAAAAAAGGAGTCTGATGGGTTTGGAAAACATAGACAACAGCGTCAGTTCCCCGTCGGAAAAGCACCATCCAGCAGCAAGGTAAAGCAGTGAAAATATTAAACATACCCTTGAACAGATAATAATTTAGGTCGATGGGACTTGCTTTTAGTTGGTTGCGTATGGATAAGTGCCACATACAGCCATACTTCGAAAATCTGAACTGGCACAGCACTTACCTTCTCTGCAGGGCGTGCACTGGCCACAGCTCTCATGCTTGTAGAACTCAATCAGGCGGGCGATAGCTCTAATGATGTCAGTCTGGAAAAAACAAAGCACCCAATGTAAGAGATGTTTGATGATTTCTTTATGCATGATGTATTATGTAGCGGAATTGAAAAAACGTACAGATTTGTCCATAACGATGATTGCAGCGGTGCCCAGGCCAGTCTGAGCCTGGAGGAGACCGTCAAAGTCCATCAGCACCTCTGCACAGACGTCCTTGGGAATAAGGGGGGTGGAGGAGCCACCGGGGATAACAGCCAGCAGGTTGTCCCAACCTCCACGCACACCACCTACCAGACGGATGGTCGTGTGTTTACTTTAAGTCATCTTAATCATTTTGTAGTAGGACCCCATCAATGCAGATAAACAAATGATGCATTTAAGTTTAACTTTCACATTTTTACAACCAAAATCTAACTTGTGTCATTAAAGAGATCTCAATAATATGAGTCAAGTAGGATCATTGATACATTTTGTGTCATATTTACCGTTAAACACTCCACCATCATTCCAGTCCCCAAAAAGACAAAAATCACCAGCCTCAACGATTACCACCCAGTAGCTCACCTCCATCATAATGAAGTGCTTTGAGCGGTTAGTCAAATCATTCATCACCTCCTCCCTCCCTTCCTGACTCTCTGGACCCCCTGCAGTTTGCCTACAGCGCAAACAGATCCACAGACGACGCCATAGCCCTCACCATCCACACTTCCCTCTCACACCTGGACCAGAGGAACACATATGTGAGAATGCTGTTCATTGACTACAGCTCAGCCTTCAATACCATTGTGCCCTCCAAGCTGGCCATCAAGCTCAGAGACCTCGGGCTCAACAGCGCCCTCTGTAACTGGATCCTGAACTTCCTGACGGGCAGACCCCAGGCAGTGCGGGTGGGAAACATCACATCCTCCACCCTGATCCTCAACACCGGTGCCCCTCAAGGCTGCGTGCTCAGCCCTCTCCTCTACTCCCTGCTCACGACTGCGTGGCCTGGCCACACACAGCTCGAACACCATCGTGAAGTTTGCTGACGACACGACCGCCGTCGGCCAGATCACAGACGGCGTACAGAGAGGAGGTCGGAAACCTGACATCTTGGTGCCAGGATAACAACCTCAGCAAAACAAAGGAGCTGATTGTGGATTACAGGAAGCAGCAGAGAGAGGCACACGCCCCCATCGCCATCAATGGGACTACGGTGGAGAGAGTCAGCAGCTTCAGGCTCCTTGGGGTCCACATCACTGAGGACCTGACATGGACTCTTCACACCACCACCATCCCCAAAACAGCTCGACAGCGGATTCAACATGGACTCCAGGATACTCTGCAACTTCTACAGGTGCACCATAGAGAGCATCCTGACCTTCTACAGGTGCACCATAGAGAGCATCCTGACCTTCTTCTACAGATGCACCATAGAGAGCATCCTGACCTTCTTCTACAGGTGCACCATAGAGAGCATCCTGACCTTCTACAGGTGCACCATAGAGAGCATCCTGACCTTCTTCTACAGGTGCACCATAGAGAGCATCCTGACCTTCTACAGGTGCACCATAGAGAGCATCCTGACCTTCTTCTACAGGTGCACCATAGAGAGCATCCTGACCTACAGGTGCACCATAGAGAGTATCCTGACTTGCTGCATCACGGCCTGGTACGGCAGCTGCACCGCCCTCAACCGTAAGGCTTTACAGAGGGTGGTGAAAACTGCACAGAACATCACCAGGACGGAGCTGCCATCCATGGAGGACCTTTACTCCCAGCGGCTCAGGAAGAAAGCCCTCAGGATTATAAAAGACCCCCATCACCCCAGCCACAAACTGTTCAGTC